GAAATTAATAAGATAGAATTTAATTATTATTATTAATAGAACTAATTAGATTAATTAGTAAAGTTATTTTTATAATTATTATATCTTAATAGAAATTCTTAATAGAATTACTACTAAGAGTATGGGAAAGAAGAAAAGAATAATTTTAAAAATTTACTTTAATGAAAGTTATTACTTATATACTAATTAGGCTACTTAAATAATATTAACGCTTTCTTATCGATATACTATAAAAAACTACGATTTTATTATATTATTTCAAATTGAATACTCGATTTAATATTAATTTAATTTAGAAATTAACTTAGAATAGTCGATAATATCGACTTAAGAATATCTCGTCGAAATTTTAATAAAAGGTTATTTTAAATTACGATTAGTTAATTATAAATAAAAGTAAATTTAACGATTTTCATATATTTTAAGATACTTTAAATATAAGAATACGCTAATTTATTATTTCTAGTATTACTTATAATATAGCGTTTAATTTAAAGATACTAGATTACTATAGAAGCTCTTTTCTTAAATTACTTCGTTAAAAATTCGAATTAAACTTTTAATAAAGCTATTCTTAATAATATCTTTTTAAGCTTCGTAAACTTAATAAAGTGTTAGATTAAGGTTTTATCGCGGAAATACGTTAATAAAATTTGCTAAATCTTTTTATAGCTCTTAATAGTAATAATATTCTTAAGTCGATCTATAAAGATATAGACGTCTTTATAGAAAATATATTAACTCGTATTAATAATAAATCCTTTTTTTTTAAAGATAGAATTAAAGAAATCGATATTGTTAGCCTTTAGATATAAAGAATTATCTTCGTTTTTTATAGCGTTATTTTCTAGAGAGCTAAAATTGTTTAATAAATCTAATAGCTCGAGTTAAGAAGTAATATTTCGAAGTAATTCTTATAATATAGTTTATTATTATTAAGAGAATTCGAACTCTCTTTAAGATTAATCTTTTTAAAAAAGTATTTTAAGTTTAATAAAATAAGTATAAATAGTCTCTTTCGTAGATATAGCTCTAATAATAAATCTAATATCTTTAGAGAAATTTAATATTATTAATTTAAAAGAGATAATTATAGAGGAAGTGTATAAAGTAATATTAATAGATAAAGGATTCTTAAATCGATAAAATGCTAGGGTATTTCTTTCGAAGATATTAAAAATATCTTAAAGAGTAGACTTATTAACGGCCTAGTTATATAATTAGCTTAATACTTTTATAAACTATAATTATACTCTAATATATTTATCTCTCGCGAAGATATCTTAACTAATTTAAGAAGATTTAAAGTTATTTCTAATAATTTAAGTAATTAGATAATAAGTATTTTTATTAAAAAGACTTATAAAAGAGTAATTACTTTTAAGAAATTTCGAAAGCTAAAATGTAAGAATTACTATATCTCTAGAAATAGAATTTATTATAAAGATTAAGAATTTTAAAGAAGCTATTATAAAGATTAATTAACGATATTAATAACTTATAAAAATAGATAAAGAAGTAAGAATTAAATAAGTTTAAGATTTAAATTTTTTAGAGAAAAGCTTCTTTTTTAGAAGAGATTTCTTTCTTAAGAAGAAAGATATAACGAGATTATCAATTCGAAACGAATTTCGATTTAAAAGAAACTTCTTAGTAGATAGTAAAAGCTCGGCAATTTTAATATAAAATAGATTAATAATATCGTTAAATAGATAATCGAAGAAGTTTTTAGAAAAGAAAGATTATAAGAAAAGAAAGTAATTACTTCGAAAGTATATATAACGAAACTATTCTTATAATATAGCGAAAGACTTTATCGAAGAATTATAATACTTTCTAATTAATATTTATTAGAAAATAATAGACTTAATTATTAAATCTCTTAATACTTATTAAGTAAAGAAATAATATTAATAAGATAATTTCGATATTACTATTATTTATTAGAAGTAATAATCTAACTAATATAATATAACTTAATTAATTATATTAATAAAGAATCTACTTTCTAAGTAAGTAATTTCTTATTAAGCTTTACTTAGCGAAAGCCCTTACTTAATAAAAGCCCTTACTTCCCCTAACATTATAAAAGACTTCGAAGAAGAGATAATCTCGTAAAATTTAAAAGATTTATTAAATTTCTCGAATCTAACGATAGTAAAGTTTAATTATAAATTATCTTTAAAAATAAGTAATTTTAGATAAAATTATTCTTAAGTAGATAGTAAAGTATTATTATAATTAAAAGAGATTTAATTTTTAATTTTATACTTAATATATAACTAATTATCTTTTCTTTAAAATTAATAAATAATATTATTAATATAAGAATTCTTCGAGATAATTTAATTAGATATATCTTTTAAAATAGATTAATAGTTATAAAAGTAATTATTAGCTATAAGATTCGTAGATTCGCTTTTACTAGCGTTTTCTTTATTAGAATTCTAAGTTAAAATTAAAGCTAAAGTCGAAATAGAAGCTAAAACTTCGTATAAAGAATAACGATACTTTAAAAGTTGAGATTACGTAAAATATTAAGATTTTATAAAAGCCTTTAATAATTACTTTAATAAATCTATATAAAAAAACGAAGATTAATAATATAAGAGTCTTAAGACTTTAATAATTTAATAAAAAGTAATAAGAAAATTACTTATTATTTCGATAAGTTTCGTTTTATAAGAGATTTATAAAACTATAGTTGATCGAATCTCGATTCTTTATCTAAGAGCTTCTAGATTTCGATATTAATACGCTATACTTCTTTCGCGAGATTATAGATTATATATAGAGATCTATCGAAAGATACTATATCTCTCATTACTTCCTTTTAAATCTCTTAATTATTTAATTCTCTAATAAAAATACGAAGAATAATATTAAGTATAGTAGATTTAAGAAGACTAAAGATAGCACTAGAAGTAATAGCGAGTTTATTCTTAATTTTAACTCTCTATATTAAGTTAGTAATACGCTTAAAGTAAAAAATAAGAGATTCTTTAAAACGTTAATATAGATCTATAATCTTAATATTAAATAAGATTATACTTACTTCTATAGCTTTCAAGAGAAATTTCTTATAGAATATAGCCCGAAACTATTAGATCGTTTACTAAGAATCGATATACTCTACTTCGATAAGAAGTCGAATAGTTTTTAAATAACTTTCTAATTATTTAAAAGTATTATTAATAAGAAGTATATTAAGATATTCTAAATATTTAATTAAAAGAAAATACTTTTCTTTATCTTAATAATTCTTTATATCGAAATTAAACTTTTAAAACTACTTTACTATTAATATATTAATAATTTTAGAGAAGTTATTATATATAGCAAATATAAGATAAGGTATAATTGCTTTTATAGTATTATTAGACTATATAAGAGCTTTAGATTAATTTAAAGAAGATATACTTTAATAAAATTCTAATAATAAAATTATAGAATTTATAAAATTATTATTAAGAGGAATTTTTAAAAAGTCTAGAATATTAAAATATTAGTAATAAACTAATTTTTTAAGAAGATTTTTAATACTCGCTAGAATACTAGAATAGTTTAATACTTTAATTTACTTTTATAGTAGTAAGAGAGTTTTAATAAATAATAGTAATAATTTAAAAATTAAATTAGATAATAACAACTTCTTAAAATACTTATTAAAGGCTTCTTAAATCTCGAGAAGTAATTTAATAGATAAAAGAGGTTTTCTAGACTAAATAACTTAAGAAAATACTTTTATAATAAGATTTTTAATAAGAAATTTAGTAAAAAAAAAAAAAAATAATAAATTATAGTTAGATAGATTAAATAAAGATTTTAAAGATATATAAGAATAATAGTAAAAAAGATTCTACTTTAAAGCTATAAAAAGATTTAAATAAGATTTTTAAAGAATAAGGATAACTAGGATCGTGTAGATAGAAGAGAATATAGATTCTATAGAGGAAGGATTCGAAGGATTCCCTAAGGATTCAGTCAAGCAAGCTATACTACATATGGCTAGTAAGAAAGACCTCGTAGAAAGCACCTTCCGACTCGATATAGAAGCCTTGATAGTAAGGAAGAACCAGATTTTTTCATCCTTATTGTGTGGAGTTATCATAGAATTTTAGTGAGAAGTAGACATTTAAGTGTTGGACCGGACTTATCGGATCTAAAAATTTCGCATTTCCTAGTATTTCGCGTTTCCTCATGAAACTAACTAGCGGTAAGCCGTTGAAGGACGCGCCAATGGCCTGAATACATAGTGTTGTGGCATGCCGTAGTAGCTGCCGCCATTGGACTGAGATGCGAGAAGACGTAGTCCATTGTTGTCTTGGTCGGCAGGTTGAAGTGGTTGGCTTCGTAGATCTGGGGGTGGTGGGGGGATTTTTAGTCTGTGCCCACGCAACACGCGTAGTGATCCATGCGGAGCAGGGATCTCTCCTGTAGTACTTTGACTGTTTGGCTTCAATCTAAGACCGAGCTTGTCCCGATCTGGAAATCGTGCAGGAAGGGCTCGGAAGCTGACAAGGGCTTGACCGCCTCGACCGCAAGAGCTGTGTCGTGAATCTCACGATGTTTTCCTGCAGAGAGCACCACATCACTAGAGAGCGTGCGTGAGCACACAACGATCTGAAAACCTCGGCTGAAAACTCACTTTGATTGCTGACTCTAGCATGCCCATGCCTTGACATGAATGGATCGAGATGTATATTCTGACACATCCTCTGAGGCTCGCGATAGCAAACCCTGCGTCCGAAGCAAGAGGACCAGAAAGACCGATGGGAACCAAAAGCAAGCCGCATAATTTTCCAATTGCGCCGACCAATGGGGTATCACAAAAGCCGTCCAAGATTGTTGATCCAGAATGCTAAGCCAGTCTGTCCCAAGTCTAATGACTAGAGATTGTATGTGCCGGGGCGCGCTCCATGGAAAGGAGTGCCGTTCAAAGTAGAGGGTTGTGAGTTGTACTCCGGAATCAATTGGTTGAAAGATCGACTGAACATGCACTACGTGTGTCTAGGTCGCCTTTCAAAGTGATGTAGACCGTTCGTGCCAGCAGATGCATCGACAACTGGGGAAGCTACCGCACTGCTGTCGGCGTTGACATCATCGTCGTCAAACCAGTCATTGACCGCGCCGAGAAGCATCTTCCAGACGTTCCCATCCGAATGCTCTGTATCGACAATGTCCCTGGCCTATCATTAGCACCATGGCTCGCATGCTGAGAGGTCAAGGTGCGTACATTGATAGGCCCAAGCCGGAGTCCAGCTGATTGAGGCGATTGATACCGTCAGGGTCATTGCCGAAACGGATGAACTGGATTCCAAACTGTTCTCTCTCCATAAAATTCTGCTCGAGGCTGCCCACCAGCTTTTTGATCATTGGGGCTGGGTCGCAGCCGGGCTGCCAAATCCCATCAGTAAAGATATATAAGTTCTGGCGTCGTACCGGCCGCGGTGATTTCAACAGTTTGAATAGTGATCTCGTTGGTTTTCGGTCCCTTAATTTGTCGTGATAATCTTGAAAAATGTCCCCCAGTTGTATTCTGATATTAGATGTGCCAACATATCGCACTGTCTCTAAAGTTCGTAGGAGCTGACCAGTGTTTTTCGCTCTCTCTTTTCTATCACGCGACATTGTGAACTGTATTTCTATACCATCAGGGTCTGTCCCCTTGACTATATATCCAAGCAACCCGAAAAGATTCTCCACTTCTCTACGATAAGGTCGCATGGAGAGGGAGTTGTCGATTAAAAAGACCTGGCAGTATTGTAAGTATTAAGAACAGCAGATGCAACGCTGACTCACGTGATCCCTCTCGTTCAGATCTGCCAGAAGATCATCATGAGGCAGCCTGACAGGTCTATGCTCCTTTTTGTCCTTTTTCCACTGCTGAGCGTCGGTGAGAGACAGAGAAGGAGGGCGTTGCCTTGACCGGGTTTCTATAGGAGGGGGAACGTTGGATGAACCAATTGATACGAATCTGGGGTGCTGCATTCCTGAACCAATGTTTGGATGGTGTTGGCCGCCTCGTGAGCCATTGTGTCGATCTTGAACCAACGTCGCAGTACTAGCTCTTGACACTCCTCCTGGTGGAGCCGTGGGTGTATCGCGCTGATTGAGGTCGTAGGTCTCTCGTCGGTCGTGGGAAAACATATGAGGGCCGTTCCTAGTATTAGCACCCGAGAACAGATCAGATGTAGTTCGGCGTCGCTTGCGATGTGTACTCTGTGGTTCCTGCCACGAGGGACTAGAAGGGTTGTCTTGCGATAGATCGACTTCGGTGAAGGCGCGATTCAAACGGTTTTCAGGGATTTGATATTGGTCCTCGGATTCGGAATAGCTTGGATTACTGACCAGGCCTATACTTTGTTGCCGGGTCGGCCGATCGCTGTAGTGCACTTGCCGGGATGCCCTTTTGCCGACGAAATCATCGACGGGCTCTTGGTGATGAGCCTTATCCTCATCATACGATATACTCGCTGGACTACCAGCGCTTTTGTGTGAGGGTAAGTGTTGGCTGTGGGAGTTGCTGGAACGACTTTGAACGTGTCCAGGCGGTGGCTCGGGAGGTGTGCGAGGTGGCGATTGGGCACCAGTTCTGGAGTCGTTGCTGCCAGTACCCGTATACGACCCAGATCTTTTCAGCTTAGACTCTGCATCTTCCAAAATCCACTTGGTTTGATAACTCAAAGATTTCGCAGGTGTCCTACTATTCGCCTCTATCAACATCTGTTTCGTCACCATGTCCACCGTTGTTCCAGAGACGTGGTCGCGGGGACGTATGTCATCAGGGAGATTTCTGTGCATCCCCATGACAGTAGCAAGCACTTCCCGCCCGTCGTGAAAACAATTGCCATCTCTGAAGCCTGGGATTCGGGCAGTCTCAATTCCACGTCGTCGGCGGTATTCTTTCAATCCACCTTTTCCGTGAACAACCCATACTGCTGCCTCACTGAGAGTGCAGCCAAGGCTCCAGATGTCTACGTTCTGCTTTACAAGAAAGCGAATTTTCTCGATGTCGCTGTCAGCTCTATAGCACTCCGGGGCACCTGAACAACCGTCAGCCAGGGTGAAGTCGGACAATTTGTCGGAGTGTAGCCTACCGTACGCGCGAGTACCATAAGTGTCTCTATCGGTTGCGTCTCCTTGTGACGGTACGTGTTTTTTGAAATGGCTCAACCCAAGGTCGGCAAGCTTGAACTCACAGTCATAGTCTGATCCTCCGTTCTTACTCTTCACGAGTATGTTGGAAGGTTTGATGTCTTGATGCCATCTAGAAATATTAGCATGATTCCATGCAGTGTGGAGTTGCTTGAGTACCCTTGAAATATGGATGCGTCGGATGACGCTGCAGAGTCGCTCGGCTGCACACTGTGAATGGCGACCAGAGCCCCAAAAGTCTTGAATAATCCGCGCCAAAACTTTATGGTGTCTTCACCGCTAGAAGGGGGTTGGATAGTGTCGAAGTATTGTTCCAGGGTCCCTCTATCTGCATATTCCAACAACACATTGTATGTTCCATCTCGGACAAAGCTCCCGTGAAAGCCAATGATGTTGGCATTGGGTCCTCCAACATAGTTGAGATTTAGAAACCCGCTCACTTCGTTCTGATAATAGCGTTCGGCATCGGGAGTGTTGTACGTCTTCAATACGAAGGTGTGAGTGTCCTGATCGTTTGAGCCCTACTCGGGATAAGCTATTTCAAAGACAGGCACTTTGTATTGTTTCTCACCTCTCGAGAAGGAGCCTCACGGCCTAACTTATTATACGCCGGATGCAATTCGATCTTGTGGACGATTGAACTGCCGCCGTGTCCGAGCTTCTTTTTATATATGATTGGCAGTATCAAATCCTTTTCATCAAACTGCACATTCATTCCGTATTGAAGGATTGGGGCGCAGAATTCCCACTGTCGGTGGTAGAACGATTCGAAGAATCCAGCGTTTGCGGTCGATGGTGGAAAACGAGCAGGTCGAGACGTGAAGGGCAGGTATCGATCGCACAGGCTGTCATGGCGGACAAAAGATACGATGAAACGTCCATTGCCGGTAAGTACAAGTATGAGGAAGACTTTGGCATAATTTTTCCGGATGGTCTCAGGATCCACCTGGGGAGGGTCATGGGGAAATAGAGCTGCCAGGAGCTTCTTTACTGGTCGATTGTCCTGAAAGTAGGCCTCGATTTCTGAAACTGGAATGAATGGCCGATCTGTTTCGAGCCCCGCACCTCCGGTACCTAGCCGGCGCGCTCCCTCGGCCCATGTGAGAAGATCCTGGATGTGTGGGTGGTCGTCAGGCTGCAGCTCGACCATTCTGGAAGTGGTCGTCGCTCTGGGGGGAACGCAGCCAGGGATGCTGGAGCGCAATAACACAACTGTGCATGCCTGTTTTCTTCGGTAATGTTTTGTGGGTTGCTCCAGAGTGCTTTGGTGGTTTGTTGATGTTGACTGCGGGCCATTTGAACCGAGGGTGCCCCTCGGCTTTTATATGTATATTACGGAAGAGCTGACTAGTGTAACGATACTTAGATTTCGACTGTCCCTGATACTGCAACTAACCTTTGGCACCTCGACACAGCCACTTTGCTTGCTGCCGAGCAATCTCCAGGGCACGAGGCAGACATGAGCGGGCATGGGGTCGTGCATTTCTGCCTTTTGTAGCTATTAGTTGTCCCATTCATGAAAAACACGCATCAATGCACGCATAGGGGCCCACATAGAGTGTAGATAGTGGATGAGCCGTCTACGCCGGGGATAGCAAGCCTGAATAGGCCTAAATAGAGGCCTGAACAGGCATATTTCTCGTACCCATGGGCAAGAAAGCTCCCATGCCTATGGCATAGACCTGCACATTGACAGGTGCAAAACAGGTGGCTATATAGCTCGTACTGGACACCTGTCTCCTACCCTTTGCAGGGGTACCGACAGGGCTATGAAACAAGGGCATCTCATGTAACTCATTAACCCCCAGTCCCACTGTGGCGAATTTATCCTACGACCACTTCTGACGCTGCGCCCTACGCTATGACCGTTTCATGCAGTTTGATATCTGACACAATGCTAATAAGTGGGTCTTTGGCATCCTTCGACTTGTCCAATTCTAATCACGGCTCCATCTGACATTCTTGACCTTCTTAGTGCTCCAGAACTTCGACGCCCTCGAATAGGCAATAGCCTCATTGGCCAATTGATCGCACGAAGCCTCTGACTTCCTCCGCCGCTAGACATGAGACTTGAGTGCGGATCTCTGCATACGCAGCTTTTCTTTCCGGGTTTCCCACCAATAGACGCCGTACCAGGCCAACATGGTGACCACTACAAGGGGCAAGCTGATCGCAATGTACAGTCTTAGAGCCCCTAGCTGGACAGTGTTACCGAATTGGCCTGTACTTGTTGCTTTAAATATATCGGTGCTCATGAGTGTCTGCATGGCCATCAGCTAGATGTTGGGAAGAAGATCAACGACTTACCGATATGTAGGTGCCTGGGAGGAAGAACAAGGTAACGAGAGTGATTATTCTCATCGAGACCGTTTCTTGTTTTGTTTTCTGTGCAATTACATGCATCTCGCGTGTAATAACTTCCATATTGCGCGTAGATTCATGAGCTTTGCCTGCAAGGATCTTACTAGCTTCCATGTTTTGATTGGCTTTTCGAGCGAGTGTTTTGCTAGCTTCCATATTTCGATACTCTAAGATGCCATATAGCTGCAGGAGATCAGTTTACTCACATCAGACAACTAACGAACACGACATACCAGGCTCTTCCTGTCAGCGAGCAGGCGTAGCAGTGTTTCAGTTCTTGATTGTTGCATTCGAAGATCTTTCTCTACAGCTACAACGCGTGTCTCAAACCGGAAAATGTCCCCTTTGCACTTCAAAATTAGGTCGCGCGGCCATCCATCAGATTCGCAAATGGAGTGGTAATATTGTCTCAGCTCTTTAAGGACATCGACGTTGACTTTAAGTACCAACAGAGTCTCGTTGACCTTCTCCTGAATAAATTGTATTCTCTGCAAATCACTAAAAGAGAAATCTGGGTGGCTAGTTGTGACTTGTGGTTGGAGTGTATCCAAGTCCTGCAATGCTAGGTCGATATCCGACATTTTCTTACAATTCGGAGTTGATCGACCTTTTAAATGGTACGCTTGTGCAGGCGGTCCTCGTAGGACTGGATCAGCTAAAGTAATATCGGTAGAAGAGTTTGCACACTGTGCCAGCATGGAGTGTCCGAGTGGCTCCTCATTAGCCATCGAGCTGGGAAAAGGGTCAACCATTGCCGACAGCGTTGGACGGGTTGTAGTCTGAAGTGCTTCCTCTAGGAAGTTGATGAACCAACGCCAATTCTCTCCAGACCATTCGCACATAATAACATGGACAGCGAGGGATGATGCAAACGCACGGTCGACTGTATCAAAGCACGAGGTTTCTGGAAGACCCCGAGATCCAGTTGCTAATTTGATCCGCTTCTTCAATAATTGATCTCCTTTTATGACTATCCAGTTCGTCCGGCCATTCTCAACGTCGAATGAGTGATACAAAGCCGATTGGCGGATAGACCATGGCCACTCCGGTTGGCCTCTCGACCGCTCTATCGATTTCAGATTATAGCAAAATTGAAAGTTGCGCCCCGACCATCCGAGGTCAGGTATCTTCAACCCACTGTCAACCTCCGAAAATCGATTTTCGTATTTGAAGCCGCTGAAGTGAAACCCTTCGGCGTATTGCTGATTACCAAAAGGGAACAAAAAGTCTAAGAACTGTGGCAGAACCTGGTGATATGTAAACACCAGAGTGAGCATATCCCGAGTTACTTTCAAGCTTGCCCGCGAATGTGGTGCGTGCACAAACCTGGAAGCAAGTAATTGAGCTTCGGAAAATTGTTGGATTCGAGTGTGAGTACACTTACACAAATCTGCACCGCGGATCTTCGCGTTCGGGAGGACATCCAACCCGAAGGTGCTTTCTCAGCTCGTCTACATAGCCTATACGTGAAGGCCAGAATGCTGGGATTGATCAGATTCGAAGCCGTTATTGGGGACTCGTGGATTCAGCTCGAGCTTTGCTAACGCACCCGTGGCCTGTGCATCGAGCTCCCAGAGATCCAATGCCGCCTCAGCGTCGTTCTGAAACAGACTATCTTCTCGTTCGTTCAGCCGCTGGTAGTACGCGGTCAAGTTGTATTCGTACGTATTGGGGCGGATCAAGTTCTGTGGATAGGACCTGGCGTCGCGACACGAGGTGGCCAATTGCTCCATTGCACTGTCTCTTGAAGGTGTATCAAGGAAGGCGACTCTGGGCTCTTTATATTCCAAATTGAGGCACTGCCTCATCAATCGTGTCCTTGAACGGCTACACGGCTAGGAAAACAGCTTCGGTATATCAGCATGCGCCGATGCGGGCGTCTGTGCAATGTCTTAGGTGTCCATTTCAAGGCGTTATTTTAGAGTACGACAAGTAAGCCAAGTTGATATGTGAATTAAGTGCCTGCATGACAGGCAAGACGTAAGGGATGGACGAGAATGACAATAGTGGTATTCCCTGGTTACTAGACAGCCCCGCCAAACGTGAAAAATTGACGCCCGACATGCCGAGATGTAGCTAGCGTATGCACTCGACTGACTAACCGCAGCAGAACGCCTTTTACAGGATTCCGAGTGAGCGCATTTCCCTTAGACTGCACTGCCATTGGCACCCAGATATGACGGCTGCCTGTTTCCTGCTTCCTGCTTCCTGCCTCCTGCCTCCTGCGCCTTGTCGCCTCGCCCACATTGCGCATCAGTCGTCTCGAATTCGCAGCGCAATAATTTCCTGTTTTTCAGACTTTCGTCCTGTAAGGCTTCAAGTCTCATGACAGTCTGGGGAGACTCACGCTTGATAAAGGTCTTGCAATCCAGAACCTATAGGTGTCGTTGACGTGCTAGAGGTCGCGGTCAGCTATCCCTAATACAACGTCCACATAGGGATAACTTACCTCGACATAGAACTTGTAGTTGCCGAATACCCTTCTCAAATAGCCTTCGACGATTGACTGGTTTAGGCGATAGGAATCAATAGTATCGTAGACCATGGTGATTCAAAGGTAAGCCGCTGGGGTTGCCGAACTTTGGGGCTTCTGGCGCTGTGAAAGAGGCGGTCTCTGTCGCAGGAGGAGGTTTCGTCCGTGAAGGAAAAGGAGGAGGCAATGAAATGGGGCAGGGAATGCTTGTATATATCACCTTGGCCTGTTTGAGTGTAGCCTAGCAATGCAGCGATGGCAAGGTCCGCACGGCTGACATCGCAAACTACATTAATGGGTTCGGCTGTAACAGCTTGCGCCTCATAAGTACTGGGTCTATGTACCCTGCCTGATTAATTGTATTGGCTAGCCTTGGTAATGCCTGAGCCTCTCTGCAGGGTGAAGGCGAGCCTACCTCCTGACCATTTGACCTATTAAAGCTCGCATCTTGTTTTGGAATAGGACGTGCCCGGCAGTAGTCCGTTCATATATATGTCAGGCTCAGCGTGCTACAGACGACCTAATCAGTGTCAAAGGCATCGCAAGTCTACCGAAAGGCTCCTGTAATCAAAAGGCCGATGTTGACATTCTGAAAAAACAGCTTTGAGCTAGACACACAGTCTCCGTAGAGTTCCAGTGAGCTCACAAGCCAGTATTGCTTCTGAACATTAGAACCTCGAGTCATGAAACCCTTTGTACATTGGTATGTAGATGTAGATCCGCTGAAAGTGCTCGCTGGTCACTATCGCTCTTGTGTTTGTTTTCCTGACACTCTTTGCTTGGAACATTCTACAACTTCTCAAATGGTCCGAGAAAACAGAGCTCCACCGTCTAGATCTTTTTGAGGACCAAGCTCACCCCAATCATAGAGGAAAGGTCGAAGCCAACAAGTTGGTCGTTGATACGTGGAATTTACTTTCTTAGCCCCGGCCCCTTAGCGCGTCGCCAAGATTGAGCCGGATCCTGAAACCAAGGGCGTCATTGGCCAGTCGCCTCTCACAAGACATGCTTTTGACGCTTAACGACTATCTCGAGACTATTATCAACGTTTCAGAAGTTCACATTGACGAACCTACTTTTATAAACTTGCATTTTTTTGAGGATCTATGTTGAACCCTCACGCTGGTCCGGAGCTTGGTCAACAGCAACCCCGAGATCGTGGACGAAGCCCTTGAGCCCTCGATGTCTACATCTTCCACACAGTCTCGAGGAATCAATAAGCGCTTTAACAGCCTGCAGAATGGGCAACCCGCTCGCAGCGACTCCTACTCCAGCAAGCGGGCCATAAGCCACAACGATGCCTACCTATACGCTCTACGAGTAGCCTACCTTGCATACCTCCTACAGCCTCGAGCTAGGCGAACTCAGCATGTACCGGCACCACAAGCGCCGGTGCAGCGTTCTTCTACCTCTATAAATGATTTAATGAAGGATTTCAGTCTGGTGCGGGACTCCAAGAGCACCAAGTTCCCTCATGGCTTCATGGCGGAGCTCGAGAAGCGCCTGACAGGGGTCTTGATGGCAAAGGAGAAGAGACCGGAATACAATGATGCTGCTGTCAAAAGGACGTTCGCTGCCTTTTTCAACGCCTTCTCGGAGCCAAGCTTCAGGAAACGAATGGAAAAGGATAGACGAGTTGAGGACCTGGTACTCATTTTCTTCTCTAATGCAACGAAAGAGCTATCGAAGGGCAAGCAGCAGGGAGATGATGCGTGGAAGCTGATGGTTGACCGACACCTTGCTCTTTTTGTCCGTCTAGTCAGCCTGGTGCTGAAGGATCATGACTGGGTCAGAGATCGGCCAGACCTTACAAGTCGACTAGCCACCCTGGAAAGCAAATTACTGGCGCACGACCAAGACCTAGCAGCAGCACCAACAAGGAACGGCGCTATTGGAGGCACAACCATTGAGGTAGAAGTTCCTCTAAGCTACGATGTCAAGGACATGCCGCTTGTACAACTGGTTGCCAGAATATTCGGTCTCAGAAACACTATGGTGCAGTCTGATATCAACAAATATAGGTCGGTATGGACCGAGAAAGCGGCGCTACAGGATTTGAAAACATACCAGACGCTCTTAAATCTCAATTCTCGGAAGACTTTACGCAGCGATGACTTCGACCTTGATGAAGCTTATGAACAATGGAAAAAAGGAGAAATACATGATATTTCCCAGCTGATGTTGTCGATAATGCAATCTAATCCGGAGTTGGCAAAGAGCACGACGGGAAATCTGCCTCAATTCAGCCACAGGGCCAACGGCTCAGACGCGTCTGACCTTCAGCATCCAGATCGGAGGACCTCCGATTATTCTGAGGCTTCATCCTACGTCATCGACCAGCCAGTGGACATGACTAACCTGAGCTCTCGTAGCCAAAGCCCGGAGTCATCGCCCGACGACGATAAGACCTTTACCTTCATGCCATCGGACTCAAGGGGCTACTATCGCTTCATTGTGGCCCAGGCCTTAGCCTATGACTTGAACGACAAAGACCTACAAGTCTCAACGTCAGGTAGCAGCGATCCGCCGCCAGCCAAGCTGCTTTCGAAGCATTCTACGGAACTGCTGAACGAGATCTGTGTTCGCTGGCGCGTACCCTACGTTTCTAAAATCATCCTTTTCCTAGATGTTGTTCATGAGAAATTTGTTGATCAGGAGATCACACTTGATACCCTGGATGCTGCTTTCAATTTTATCAAGGAGCCACCTCCGGAAAACCGCAAGCAATCGAATTTCATGTCGTCGGTTCTATTTGACCGACCGAAATGGCTCTTGACAGACACTGTGCTCAACCAGCAAATCCTTAGCGCTTTACATGTGGCTTTATTACGAGACTTGTACGATGTCCTGCAACATTGTTATGAGCCGAAGCCGCCGAGCGTAGGGCCTGTCGTCTACGTTCTAGAACATCATATTTATGATGACCCCGGCTTCTCGAAAACCCAGGAAGATCTCGACGTCTATAGAGACCAGCTTTACCAGGGATTACAAGGCAAGGCGCATGACATGTATAGAGCCTTCCTTCAAAAGGAAGTCCCAAATGATCAGCATAGCTGGGAATTTTTTCATGTGATTGAATTAGGCAAGATGGTCGTTGCATTGGCTCAAAGGATACAGAAGCGGTATCGCAAGAACCCCGAAATTATGGGGTACGTGTCGTCTTTACCTTCTGTATGAGACCTTGCTTACATGGAATTCCAGGGTGAATCCGTTGACCGCTCTGGTTGGGACGATTTTACCCCTTTATGCGGAAGACGCTCGCGACATTATCAAACGAATATTGGACCTTGCCATGGAAAGGAGCGAGGAAGTACCTATTGAGGATGGCTTCCAATTATACGGGGAGTTGGTTGAGATCCGGCGGATTCACGGCGAGTGTCTTCCAAAGTGAGTCCAGCCAGGTTTCCAGCAGCCATCCAGGATCCTTTTAATGAGTGATTAGCGTTCCATTCGCGTTCCACATTGAGGGAGACCTCGCGGAGTTTGTGTGGCGCTGGATTCGTATGACCGAGTCTTCGATCCTTGACTGGGTGAACCAAGCAATCAAGCAAGACAATTTTCGGGTACGAACAGAGAAGAATGAGATACCGACTGAGGACCAGCGGCATAGTCTTTCAGTCATCGACATCTTCAGCTCCTTCAACCAAACGATAGACCGGATAGTCCAGCTCAACTGGGACGACGATCTTCAATACGCAAAATTTATGACCGCATTAGCTAAAGTCGTTGGAGCGGGAGTGGCAAGATATTGCGAAGTGCTTGAGCAAAAGTTTAGCAAAGAGATGGACCGATTGACTCCCGAGCAAGAAGCAGCAAGGAATCAAAGTACCCAGGAAAAATGGCTTTCGCTGGCAAAGGATGCCTGGAACAATAAAGAGAAGATCGAGCCATTCAACTTCTTCCCGGAGGTTAGTGGATATTCTTCGAAATTAGACCTTGCGGTGCTAACATTGGCTCTTAGTCCTTTGTGAAGCTCAACAACATCGACTTTGCCACTGCCCAGCTTGACAAATTGGAGCACGAGGTCAACGTGGATGCGTGCGCCGCTGTCATTCAGAGCCATGCACCCCCGGTCACTCAACGCCAGAAGAAGGTCAATAACTATGTCTTCACTATCAAAATAGTTGAGGCGGAAGATCTCAAGGCTTGCGATGTTGGCGGTTACAGCGACCCCTATGTCGTGCTCGGTGACGAGTATCAAAAACGCCTGGCCAAGACAAGGATCATATATCGCAACTTGAACCCGCGGTGGGATGAGACGGTAGATATCACGACGCAAGGCCCACTGAACATAATCGCTACGGTCTGGGATTGGGACGCCATGGGTGACCACAACTGCGTTGGCCGAGCTTCTCTCAAGCTGGACCCATCGCACTTTGGTGACTTTCTGCCTAGAGAGTACTGGCTGGATCTTGACAGCCAGGGTCGTATTCTGCTACGAGTAAGTATGGAGGGTGAACGTGATGACATTCAATTCTACTTCGGTAAAGCCTTCAGGACGCTGAAGCGGACTGAGAGGGACATGACAAGGAAGATCACAGACAAGGTACGTCGGGTCCTTACAGACCAAGAAAGTGCTGACACATGCGCAGCTATCTGCATACATCAGCCACTGTCTCTCACGGCGTGCTTTGCGCAGTCTACTCTCGAAAGGTATAACAATGTCCTCAGTATCAAGCTACTTCAATCGAAACAAACAACCTCAAACGACCCAGCCACCAAGCGAAGCCGAAGTCACCAACGCGTTGAAACCGCTTTTTGCATACTTTGATGACAATTTCGCCATCATGAACCAGACGTTGACCAGTGCCTCAATGGTAGCGGTCATGACAAGACTCTGGAAAGAAGTCCTGGTCACACTAGAGACCCTGCTAGTACCTCCACTATCCGACAAACCCTCTCAACAGCGCCAACTGAGCCAACAAGAGCTCGACATTGTCTTCAAATGGTTACAATACCTTTTCGACTTTTTTCATGCCGTAGACGAAGAGACCCGCGAAGCGAATGGTGTCCCACTCAACGTCCTCCAATCTCCCAAATATTTCGATATCAAAACACTAAATTTCTTCTACTTCGAGGCTACCGAGTCTTTGATTCGCACCTCCGAGCGTATGGCCTCCGCCACTGCTGCTCGTCAACAAAATCAACGCAACAACCGTCTTTCGGCCCCTGTGGCTGCCTCCTCCCACGCTTTCGGTGGTGCCGCCGGCCTCGTGGGTTTGCCCTCAACGCGAAGATCGAAAAGTGTCATGCACTCACGGAATTTGGGAACTATGAAGAAGGCGAAACAGGAAAAGTGGAAGGAGGCTCAGGCAGACCCTAACGATGACATGATACTCAGGATACTAAGGATGAGACCAGAGGCCGAAAGATACTTGAAGGATCGAAGCAGACAAAAGGAGAGGCTTGCCGCAGCGGCAGCTGCGGAACAAATCGTACGGCAGAGTCTGTTGGCGGGAGGAGGGAGGATGATGGGAAATTTACCCAGACGTTAAGATATAACGTTGTGTGCTTAGTCCTAGCGAGTCTTGGTCGGTGTCTGGTTCTAGAATCATGTGGGCGGCGGTGTATGGTGATACCCTGGGTATCTAAGGGTCATGTCGAGAGGTCCGGAGGCGTTCATCCTTTCGGCCTTGTTGAGCATAGCATAGCATAACAATGGCGCGCACACTTTTCATAGACGTCATTATAGGATATAAGCAAATGTCAAACAGCTTTCAAGACTTAAAAATTAGTGATATTTCTGCCCGGAAATTGCAGCTCATATGTACAATGACACGTACACCTTGGAACGCAGTTTCAATTGTCCTACCTCACCCTCAATCAACCCCATCCTCTGTCCTCGCCTACACTCCCTTTAGCCCTCACGCATCACTGACCATGTCAAGAGTGTTTACTTACCAGCACAGCACCTTCACCGCCCAATTCCCGATCTAAACCCCCCTCATAACCCCTCTTTACTGCCGGCATATCAGGATAATACACTCCCACCACAGTCACCAACCCCAAAAACGTCGCGACAAAAATGCCCAAACAAACAGCCCCCCACCCAGGCTTAAAATGTGTATACTCTTCTGGAGAGAATACGCCAAGGATATCATTGTCCTCATGTACAGGCTCGCCGTAGTTGCGCCGTTCTTGCTTATCCCACCAGTCGGCGTAGGGATCACGGAACTGACGGGGAATCGCAGGGGGGTTGATGTAGCCACCGTTCATGTTAGGGTCCTCGATGTCGGCTTGGGATAGGTAGCGGATTTGTGGGCGGTAGGTGACGGGGTTGCGGAGGAGATGGGTTAGAGGTCGCGCTGTTGCGAGGCGTCGAGAGAGCATCTACACTCGATTAATACTCTCAACCCAGGCGTACCAAGCGACCTACCTTGGAAGTGATTGCACTGTCGCGCAATGCCTCACTCGAAATGTGAGACAGCTGGGAAGTTGCGATTGAGGGTGAGGTAAGTGCCAAGATTAGCTGGCTTGATCGGGTAAGGCGCGATCGAAAGTGCTGGGGTCGAAATATCCGAGCGCGAGTCGCCCAAATTTCTGATTAACATTAGGCACATCATACAGCACATTTTTCTTTCGCCTCTACACAACCACCCAGGACCGTGGTCTCTTTCAAATTCCACCAGTGAAATGGTCTCACATCAAGCTTTCATTTGACGTACCAATCACAAAAATTGGATGCGTTTTCATGGATGTTTTGGGGGGTCGTCGAGTAAGGATTGATGATTTGGTCATCTCACGCCAGAAATGCAAACCGAGGCGCCGCTGGAAAACGGCGACGCTTCAAACCACGTCAACCATCAGCCCAATGGACTTGATCATTCGACACCACCACCTCAAACTTTGACTGAACAACTCTCGCATGTGAATGCTGAAGCCTTCTTAGAAAATGGAGATACCCCGCATGGAGAGGACAAGGGCATTGATGCACCTCCAAACAAAAAGCGGAAGCTCACAGATCCCCCAACGGGGAAGAAATCCGCGCCAGGATCACGGCCCATCTCACCACCCTGGAAGAAAATCGCAGTCGAGGGACCCACATCATTCGTGGAAGAAGGCAGACGAAAGTCGTCTCGTACAAACTATGTGCCTGTCGAACTCCTCCCACAAGCGAATAAACGGAAAACGCGTGCTGCCATCAACCAGGGCTCTCCTATCAGCAGTAGTAAATATGGAGGTGCCTACAAAGTTTCACCCTTGACTACACCTGCCCCAACACAAACACAGACGCCCAGCAATGCCAAGCGACCCCAATCGGCTGGTAAGCCCGCCGTCAACACTGTTGGTAGACCGCCAATGAAAAGCAGTCAGCCGGCGAATGCTACAAACTCCGATGATGCACCCCCGCCGCCCAAACGATCTCATAAGAAAAAGATACAACCGCCTCCGGAATCTCCCATACCGTCTCACTCACCTCAACCATCAAACCCCCATCAAACTCGCCGAGCAGCCCGCCGCTCTGAGGCTGGAACAACACCGAGCAGAACACAAGGGCCAACTAGTAACGGTTGGCATACCAACGAAGAAGAAACAGGAGATAACGAGGAGGTGGAAGAGCTTGTCGAAGTAGACCCCAACCAACGGTTTCAACGATTGAGTCTCACGGTTCGCATGCCGACGGTGAACGTACAGCATCCTGGACATGTGCTTCCACAACGGAATTATGACTCGTTCAAAGAGTGGTTTGAGAAAGAAGGCAGACTAGGGCTTGAGATTGGAGACCCAGATCCTGCGATGACCGAGCGGTCTGCTTCTGAGGAAGCGCACTTGAGGACCCGCATCAACGAAGCTGCGAATCCGGGGGGCCTACTCAGTGAAGATCGGTGTTCATTATACAAGCCGGAAAAGTTCGACCCGCCGCCTCGGCAGTACACCCACCATGACCGTCTTGTCGCACATGCAGTATACTTCCAGAAATTGTTGGGTCAAGAAAATGCCAAACACCGCAGAAATGCAAAGGAGTGTGCCCGTATGGTAGCCGATTTCGTTCAGCGCAGAGAGCTAGAAAAATACAAAACCTGGAAGCAAGGACAACCTAAGACAGAGGAAGAGGTTTCCCAGGAGCAATACGACGCGGCAAAGGAGGTCTGGCAACAGATCAGAGAAGACTTGAAGAAAAAGTGGGCCATGGTCACTGAGATCGTGGAGGCAAACCGGCTTCAAAAATGGCAAGAAGAGCAAGAGCGTCTGGGAAAAGAAGCGTTGAATGAAGTAATAGACAAGTCGGAAGGCTATATGATGAAACAAAGAACTCGCCGCACTTCTCGTGGCAGCGACGAGGATTCTGGTGGCGATAATGCGAGCGGTGGTGAAGGATCAGGTTCCGGACCAGAAGGAGATAGCGAAGATGAAGTCAATATGTCAACCAGTCAATCTGACAGTGACGAAGATCAAATTGCTGTGGATGATGACGCAGGTCTTACCCAGGAGGAGCTGCGTCAGAAATACGCGACAGTCCCAAGCCTCAAGGAAAGTCAGCCTTCAGACTCGAAGCAACCGAGCGGAGACCACGTAAGTACCGATAGTCCTAGCGACGGCCAGGCTCCCGATGAGACAAAGTCAGATCCTGCAATCGAAACCGACGAACCTTCCTCAGCACCTGATTTGACCCATGAGGAGCCTCCTCACAGTCCTGTTGCGTTGGATGAAGTTGATGATGCTTTGATGGATGACAGCGATGAGAGCACAGACATGGACGACGACATGAGTGACAGCGATGAATCTTCGGATGAGGATGAAAGTGGTGACGAACAGAGCGCAGATGAAGAGCCAGCCGGTTTGCTTGGTTTCTTTTCGAAGAAACAGCTGCAGCCCGATGTGGAGTCAGTTGATGAAGAAAAACACGACGCATCTCGAGACGATGACGAGGCATCTGAAGACGAGGCCGAGGAAGTGTCTCTCATCCCAGATGCCACGCAGGGCCCAACACCGTCTGCTACTACGAGTGAAGAACCGTATACGGAAGTCCGCGACAAAAGTGCCCGGAGTATTACTCGGCCTGGACGCGAGACTGAAGCTACGACAGGCGCAAATAACGAATTGACCATCTCAAAAGCAGCCGAAGAAAAGCTTCCTCCGTCTCAGGACTTCAGATCGTTGGTCCAGGATACTTCGTTGCCAACAACACCCATGTCAAACAATCCGTCGAAGACGCCTATACCATCTCTGCTTCGAGGTACACTTAGAGAATATCAGCATTTCGGCCTTGACTGGCTTGCTGGGCTCTATGCCGCTGGTACGAATGGCATTCTGGCGGATGAGATGGGTCTTGGGAAAACGATACAAACCATTGCATTGCTTGCACATCTTGCGGTTGAGCACGAGGTTTGGGGTCCACATTTGATTGTCGTGCCGACAAGCGTCATGCTCAACTGGGAGATGGAATTCAAGAAATTTCTTCCGGGCTTCAAAATCATAACCTACTATGGTACTCAGGAAGAGCGAAGGAAGAAGCGTCAGGGGTGGCTCGATAATGAGAAGTGGAATGTTTGGATCACGTCGTATACTCTGATTACGAATGATCAGCAGATCTTCAAGAAAAAGGCGTGGCATTACATGATCCTCGACGAAGCTCACAACATCAAGAACTTCCAATCGCTGCGTTGGCAGACTCTCTTGACGTTCCGGACTCGAGCTCGGCTTTTACTGACAGGGACTCCTCTGCAAAACAATCTGACAGAGTTGTGGTCATTGCTTTTCTTTCTTATGCCTGCCGACAGTGCCGAAACCGGTATCGGAGGGTTTGCAGATCTGCAGGAGTTTACAGAGTGGTTCAGAAAACCAGTGGAGCAGATCCTCGAACACGGAAGGGATGTGATGGACGATGATGCCAGAGCTATTGTCGCCAAGCTTCACAGGGTCTTAAGACCTTTCCTCCTTCGGCGGCTGAAAGCAGATGTTGAGAAGCAAATGCCTGGTAAGTATGAGCACGTGGTCTATTGCAAATTGTCCAAGCGTCAGCGATATCTGTACGATGGCTTCATGTCTCGAGCCCAGACACGTGAGACGCTAGCTTCGGGAAACACCTTTTCGATCATGAACGCTTTAATGCAACTTCGCAAGGTCTGCAATCATCCCGATCTTTTCGAGACCCGGCAAATTACCACTTCATTTGCAATGCCAAAGTCAGCCATTGCAGACTTCGAGATCAAGGAACTCCTTGTTCGGCGACGATTGCTTCAGGATGACCCCGTCAGTGTTGTTGATTTGAACACAATCAATCTGCTTCCAGGCGCAAACGAAGAGTTCTCGGCTCTTGAGACCATCCAAAGACAGAGAGTCGGAGCTCTTGGAGCTTTCAGGCAATTTTCAAGCCAACAGTGGGCACGCATGGATCACAACGTTCCTTTCGATGCCACCTCGGTCAAGAGCACTCTTGCCAGTTACGCGAGCACTGCTAAGTATGATACGTACGAAAGACTTAGGCAAGCTGCCTACCTTACCAGCCTCCGAAGCCAACGGCGTCCTCTGTACAGTCGCGACAAGATCGAGCGGCTCCGATTTGGTACCAAGACTCTACCACATTCCCCTATGCCGGAGCGAAGAGCTCAACTATCGGAGTGGTATTCGCGGATGTCACCTGCGTTGCAGGAGATGGTCTTGACTATGCCTGAACGCGCCAAGGCTCTCGAAACGACTGTACAAAAGTTTGCTTGCGTGACGCCTTCCGTTGTCGCTACTGATATGGCACCTTTAACCCTATGCCGCAAAGGCGTAGAGGTCGTCCAATCTGCAAAGGAGGTCTGCCCCCAAGATCCTTTCCATGAAGCTCGCATGCACCTCTCCATCGCTTTTCCGGACAAGCGCCTCCTCCAATACGACTGCGGCAAACTCCAGCGGCTCGACACTCTGCTTCGTACTCTTCAAGCTGGTGGTCATCGTGCTCTTATTTTTACTCAGATGACGAAAGTGCTTGACATTCTTGAGCAATTCCTCAACATTCATGGTCACCGTTACCTCCGTCTTGATGGGGCAACTAAAATCGAACAGCGGCAAGTCTTGACAGAACGATTCAACCGTGACGACCGCATCCTAGCATTCATCCTGTCCTCACGGTCGGGTGGTATAGGGATTAATTTGACTGGCGCAGATACTGTCATCTTCTATGATTTGGATTGGAACCCAGCAATGGACAAGCAATGTCAAGACCGATGTCATCGTATTGGTCAGACGAGAGACGTCCATATCTATCGACTTGTGAGTGAGTACACCATCGAGGCCAACATCCTCAGAAAAGCCAATCAGAAGCGCATGCTCGATGATGTCGTTATTCAAGAGGGAGAGTTCACAACAGACTACTTCAACAACATGAGCGTCAAGGACATGATTGGCGATGAAGCTCTCGATGACCGTGATGCCGGTGCTAATGCAGCTATGGACCGTGTGCTTGGTCGTGGTCGTGGTACTGGCCGAGTGTTCGAAGCAGTCGAGGACCAAGAAGACATTGCCGCAGCACAGGAGGCGGAAAAAGAAATCGCCAACGAGGCAACTGAATTCGACGAAAAAGGGCCCGCGACGCCCAAGACCCCAGGGCCAGCTACTCCGGGCGAGATGATGCCTCCACCAAGACCCTTGCAAAACGATGATGTGGAGAGGACCACAACCATGGAAGCTGCGGATTCCGGCTTAGCAAATCCTGCTGACATGCTGTCACAGGAGGCTGAGGAAGAAGTGCCGTCATGCGATGATTTCATGTTACGCTTTATGGAATGGGAGTTCGAAGATATTCCCGTGCAGCCACCTGTGGATAAGAACAAGAAGAAGTCGAAGAAGGGGAAAGAGCTTGGGCACCGGAGGAGGTGATGTGCTCTATCTTCATCAACGGGGTGGTCTTTGTAAATAGGACTTTGAGCGCACTTGTACTATAGTATACTCGGGGTACGGCTTCGACTGTCTTGAATTGCTCAGCGGCATTGGGTGGAGCGTTTACGTGCGTAAGCAGCATTCATTGTACTATTAGAGAGAAGCATATGATATTGGTGATACCCTAATCACACCGTGCATACCGTACCAATGATTATCTTTCCTTTACTTGCCACGCTAGCTCCTTGCTGAGGATGACCAGCCTTGCTCGCCGCAGAGACTCAGCGCAGATTCCGAGCGCTACTCAAACCGCCCCGTCTAACCTGGGCTCTTTTCTTCGTCTTCGCTGCGACACACGGCATCCGAATCTCCGTCTTTCCTCCATCAATCCGATCCCCAAGCCCTCACCACCCTACCGCTAAGTCCTCCGTGGACCACCTCTGTGTGCCTTTGGCCTCGATCTTTTCAGGAACAATCGGCTCCATCCTTCGACGATCCGCCTGAACGGTAGGTAGAGCGCGGCGAGATCGTAACGTTACCACGCACGGGGGTCGGTCGTCGGAATTGTCGAAATCGTTTTTCGTCGGAGCACCACTTCCGCGGTCTTGGGGGTCGGTCGTCTCGTTTTGGGGGCGGGGATGCTTTTTCGATTACAGCAGGCGTGGGTAGTCCTTTGTGGGGAGCTTGAGGCGTGGACGGTCGGTTTCGAGTCGGAGACTTGTTTGAGCACTACAACCAAACTGTTTTTCCCCACCGCCCCCTTTCTCCAATTCCACCTCCCTCCCCTCTTCCGTCCGGGCGATGGCCGAAATACTCCCGCAACCCTCCCACCCTCTCCTCCTCCCTCACTCTCACAAACCCTCACCACCTCCATCTTCCCCCCCCCAGATTCCACTCCACGACCCCATCGACCACCATCACCTTCCCCTAAACCTCACCGTCCCCACCCCCCCCCCTCCTCAAAAACTCGACAACCAACCCCGCATGCGTCCGAAAGCTCGCCGGGCTCCGACTCACATAAAAAATCCACCACCTCGAAATCCGCGCCCGTGGATGCGGATTCCGGGGAGCGGTAACGGCCGTTCCGGTCGTGGTGCGCCGGATGCCGGTATAGGTAGATTCCGACACCTTTGGGCTCCGGGAAAGGCTGTTCGGGCGTGGCGGCGTGGAGGAGGCGGAGGTCGTTGGGTGCTGATGCCGCGGGTGACGAGGAAAGGGGAGGGGCCCCGGCCGGAGGGGGGGAAGGGTGTGGGGGGGGGCGTCGCCGCCGTAGCTGATATCGGGCAGGACTTGGGGCCCGGTGGGAGGGGTGACGTTGTTGACGGCGTTGGACCCTGCGATATTTATGCGGATATGATACCTTTCACTTTCTCCCGCAGATCCTGGGCTGGTGCAGCGTACGAGTAGAGTTTTCTTGGGGCGTCGGGCCGAACCCCCCCTCCCCAAACTCTGTATGAATGGAAAGGGGTCGCTACGGTTTGCTTCAAACTCTTTCGCGATGACATCGATGTAACAAGATTACTTACGGGCTTGCGGTTTGAAAAAGTGTTCGTTTGATATGTACGCCGTTCATCGGATAAACACAGCCCTGGAATCCAAGAGCGCAAACAGAGCACGAGAGCGCCCTTTCAAAATTGAGTGTCCGACATGCCAATCGCAAGCAAAGAGATGATATTCACGGGACTCCGGAAACTCCCAGCTTGCAGACCACCCCAGAACGGGCCAACGGGAGACCCCGAACCGATCACCCCCCGCCATACGCGACGCAGAACTCATGGTCCGAATTCTTGTAATTCCGATTACGCAGCAGACCCCACCCCAAATAGCAAACCGGCGCCGCGCCTCCGCCAAAGTCTCCGATCTCGCCCAAACACCCCTGGGCGTAAAACTTGGGCGCGACGTTCGACGCACAGTCCGTGAACGGATTCGGGTGCGTGTTGATCTCGGTCAGATCCCAGGTGCAGACTTGCATGTTGCTCAAGCAATACGTCGTCGAGCCGCCGGGGGAAGTGTCCACGATCGCCTGACTGCCCTGCGTCGAGTGCGACGCCTGCGCGCAGAGATCGGCGCCTTTGAAAAATTTCTCACCCGTCGAGTACCCGTTGAAGAAATTCTGGTACTCGGTGTTGAAGTCCTTGGTCTGGGTCTGCGTATCGTAGAGCGCGTAGGTGATGCTGGTGGCCGTGTCGTACCAGAAGGTCGAGCACTCGCCGTACTGGCCGTAACCCTTGCCGCAGCCCGTGTCCCAGTTGAGAGCGGTGCCGTTACTGGAAAGGGCGTTGACGTCGGTGTCGATCTGGCGGGTGATGATGACGTTGCTGACTTGGTAGGCTTGCGATATGACGTAGGTGTAGAGAGAGGTAAGACATTGATCGACTACTGAGTCGAGGTCGGGGATTTCGCCCGACAGGGGGGTATTTTCGACGAAGGCGAGGAAGCTGGTGAGGTCGTTTTCGGCTTCAGCAAGGACGGCCTTGTAGTTGGTTCTGAATTGCGTGACTAGGGTGCCGAGACTCGTGGTGACTTTCTTGAAGTCAAAAGTCTCGGAGTCGGTGGTGCCGGTAGGGAAGATGTTTTTGGCTACACCTGGGACCTGTTGTGCGGCAATGATGATGCCTTTGATGAGGGCGCCCAAGTCGGGAATAAAGGCCAAGCCGACACTCAGCGCTGTCAACATGTCATTGAGTGCAACGTTAACTGTTTGTACTGGGTTGATGATATCGATGATGTTTTGTAACTCAAGTTGGCAAAAAGACCGTTGAGATTCCAGATGTTCCAAGCCACGTAAAATGCTCGTTGCGCATTCCATAGTCCTTGGAAATTTCCCCAGGCCGGTTCTCGACATCCGGGATCTTCATCGATCTTAGCGCAAGTTGACGGCGAGTAATCTGGGATCGCGCGAGCATAGTAACAATCAGCGAAGCCTAGTGTAGGGCAAAAAGCGTGATTGGCTGACCACCACCAGTTGATGTATCCCGTCAACTAGGTCAGAATGTCAGATACACGAGAATCCTTTCGAAAGATGATGCTGGTGAACACTTACGTCGAGAGCCTTCCAGCAAGAGGCGTCCGGAATTGTGGGATCGGCACAAGGTGCAGCAGGATCAAGGTCTGTTGCCCAGACAGGAGCACCGGGACCGTACGGGACTTGAGTGAATCCCTTAGGTTGTGCTGTCCCAGTGGCGCAATAAAATGTTGTCGCAGTGCCCGAAACGGCAAAATTGATACCCGCTATTAAAGTACTGCTACAGACGCAACCTGTTATAATGCTTGTTGGAGTTGCGGCTAACGTAGTGCTGTGTCTTGTTAGCTTGATGCAGTCTTGACCATCACACTCATTACGCACGTCTGGAAAATACAACCAGCACCTTGCCTCGGTTCAAGCGTTGGCTCCGGTGCTCTTTCAACTATATCGTATAGTGCGGCCGGTGTGTGCGCAGGTATGGGTTGCGGAAGAGCAGCGACACCTAGAAGTACTGCAGATAGCCCTGCAAGGCACTTGAACAGGTACATGATCAACTAAAAAAGAGAAAGATGTTTTCTTCAAACGGTGGGGAGCGAGTAACAGATGCGTACAACATGAATCAGCGAGAAAGAGAAAGAGAGGAATAGCAAGCGACTGCCGAATTTGGAGACTGGGAAACAGGTAGGATTTTGTACAGATTTTCGGGAATGCAATTCGTCGTTCGACAAAGAGGCAGAGCAAATGAATTTTTCAGACAGGCAAAGAAGACTTCAGAGCAACCCACTGGTAGTACTTCAACTTCCGAGAACTAAGTCGTCAATACGGGTACTCTGAAATATGGTTTGGGGAAAGACCGGCCGACACTTAAATGGCATTGAGCGTCAAGAAAGTTGGATGCTTCGTTTGAATCTAGGAGGCAACCAGCTGCAACGGCCAAAAGACTGCGGACAGCAAGTATGACGTTGAAGTCACGTTTGACTTTTGACAACGAGGATCGAGAACACGTCCGTTCCGGCTAATATGGGGGGCACAGTGGAGGATAGCAGTCGGGCAATGGGCCACATGCTTGCAGGCCGTGTTGGGGGCCGGCCAACCCCTGATGGATATCCCCGATGAGGCAGCAGTGGGGAACATGCGATTGCTGTCAGATGTGACATACAGGAGAGTCCGTGCAAGGCGTAGAGCAGGTAAGTGAGCTTTCTAACGTAGGAATGCGCGCTGCTTGCGCCAACGCGCCGACATCGCATGTGCTACGTCAGGGGTCCCTTTCAGCCCTTTCAGGGTCCAGTTTCAATGACGTGCCCCTTATGCTTAGGGGCTTGGCAGACATAGATCTAGCATGCCGCGGAGGTTTGGTGTTCCTTAGAGATTAGTTTCTACTATCAATAATATACTATTGAACCCCATAACGACTCTACCTCTTAGGCCACAACTGCGACGCTTGATAAAAGCTTGTGGCTCCTCGAGAGAAATAAGGTAGTTGGGTAAGGTCCAAGTAGAAGATTAGAAGGAAAAGATTAGAAGGAAAAGATTAGAAGGAAAAGATCAGGGTTGAAAAGTAAAGAGTCAACGTAAGAGGCGTGGATAACGTTTTATGTTTTATGTTTTGCTTGGCATGCGGCCCCGCCTTTTGCACGATTTTGAGAGTCGTCGGCTCAATCTCGCAATCAGAGTGTACTCTAAAGTATTTTCCTGACCTCTCCTATCTTCCTATGATATTTTACCCTTTACCATGTTCATGAGTTGAGGAGATACAACCCGCTTGAACACGTCTTGACGCAGAGACATATCAAAATATTGAAGCCTCTCCAGGCTGGACCAAGAATGTTGGGTCCCTGTCCCTATGCTTACCCCCGTGCCTCACCGTGCCATAGGGGTACCACCATCATCTCAACCGCTGAGGGATTCTGGATCAAGACCAACTCACCTCGGTAGTGCTAAGATCAATTCGGGATACGGCTTGCACCTTTGAAACTAAAATCTTACCGTCAACTTCTCTCTGATCTTCTATTCGTGGAGCCCCATTTCCACGGTAGTTCAACCGTGAGGGCGGTGACCATGGTCTGTTTCATCACAAACTTGCTTTGTAGCCGAGGGATTCAATGGCGTCCAGAGGTTGCTTTATTCTTCACAATGCGCCCATAAGGCAGACACGAGCAGGCACGTGGTAGGCATCAGCAAGTCCGTAAATGCCGTGAAAGTCATCGTCCAACACAGAGGCAGGCTTGATTTGTCGTGCGATACTCTGAGATTTCGTGGCCGCTGGAGGTCGCTAATTCGCGCATGACGCTGAGGGCGTTCTCTCCGTTCTCGCTGTTGACATGTATACATTATGACATGGTTCATCCGATCCTCGTTTTTTATCTCGTCGTCGTTATTATTATGAGCTTTTCAATGTCGCCGCTGTCACCACCGTCGAGCCTTACTCCCCAATCTTGTCCTCTCCTGTTTTCTGAGACCTCCAGATGAAACTGCAGCCCTGATGTCGTGGCTGAAGCAGCAGAAAAAGACGTAATCAGGAAGTCTTGTTGGCGTATGGCATGCACTTTAGCGAACAGCAGGAATGCTGCTTTCGAATACAATGGTTTCAAGCCAGTGATTACCATGCTTTCGGCTCGAGCTTGACCTTATCGGACAGTCAGTCGAGAATCGCTTTCCCAAAGGTTCTCGATTTCCACCACGCATATTGGCAGCTTCTAACGTCGATCCCAGTATGCGAGTGACAGTCAACCTTGAAGATGGTAACTGGAAGAGAAGAATGCGACAGCAATGGCTACATGGTACTCCCTGATTCGAAAAGACCTTCTCGCCAACACACCCATTGCTTGGGACGATTCCGTCGTTAGCTTTCCGCATCCAGTACGGCATCCAGCCAGCAATATAATTCCTCCAGCGATTCAAAGTTCCACTTTTGCACGCAGCACATGATGTGCACCAACGATTGCAGGCGCGCCGCAATCGTTTCCAGTTGGGCGACTACACCCTTCTCTCGTACACGTGGGGTTACTCAACCATTACCAGTAAACTCCTTGTCAATCGGAGCCATATGCAAACTACCACCAGTCGTAAGGGTATCTTCTGTGGGCTGGAAGTCGCAGACACCTCCCTACTCTATCCGCTGTAGACCCTGATAGATGCCGAGGCTTGGAAATTCAATGCTTCAAGTCCATTCTCAACGCAATCAACTGTAAGTGTCGGAAATGAAAGCTTCCAACAAAGGGTCCCTGAGACGAGGACACCAAGTCGATAGAACTTACCTCGAAGCCAAATTAGTAGACCAAGAGTCTCGGTATCTCGCAATCGCCGCCCATACCTTCCCGTCCGCGATGTCTTACCCACCTCATCTACCCTCCCTGCCAGCGATTCAGACCCGGAAATCCCCTTTCTCTCCCCATCATCACCCACACTGACTACCACATAAGACAAGGAAGCCATGCTCTCATAATCCACCCCGGCTTCCAGAGTTGTGATCTCTACCGCGCCGGATATTCCACTCGAAGTTCTTCCGCTCCCCGTCACCCACCCGGGAACCGGAAATTACAATCGGCGGATCGACCCCGTCACCACGACGACGCGGGGACGCGCTATGCCAAGTTGGGGTTTCTGTCCCCGCCAGCATCGAACCCTTGGCGAGAATGGTAGGAAATATAATAGGTTTTGAAGAGGGCAAGGGTGACGCTAGTGGGCGTTGGTGAGTGTCTTGGAGGTGTTTGTCAACAATCATGACTGGGTAGCGAGAATTTTGGACTTTTGTTTCAAACATGGTTCGTCATTGCTTGTGAGACCACAATGCTCACATACTTCGCTACTTACTCTATCTTTAAAAGGTCGTACTTGCCACCTGTTTCCACCAATGCCTCTTCGATTCTTTCCATGATCGCTAGCACTTTCTCTTCTTGCAATCTTTGACCGACCACCTGGATCGCTACTGGCAGGCCGTGCATCTTTTCAGCGTCGTAATGCCGATATGCACCTTGAGCAACGCCATTTAGTTTGTTGAACTGGAAAGTTGCTGGTAGCTTGTCGAGCACTTTGTTTACGTGGGTGATGGGCATGACACCGCAGGTGTAATCAAGCTGTCCCGGTCATTAATACGCCGTGTCTGAAGCGTTCCAGCATGAAAGAGCCCTCACCAAATTGAATAAAAACGTATACCCACAACTACTTACCGCCTCCTTCATCCCGCAATGCGGCACCGCCGGCGTCGCATTTACCGGTGTCAACATAAAGTCCAATTCCTCCCGTTTCCACCATTCATGCCAGCACGCTTTGTAAGCCTCTCGCTTTGACACCCATTTCCACTGCTCATAAGCGCTCTTCTCATTCCAGTTTTCCAATAAACCTGCCCACACACTGTCGCGTGTTACATACTTGACCCAGATGTAGTAGAGGTATTTGAAAGGCCGTGGCATCTTCATATACAGTGACATTTGACGAGCGCCGGGGTCGTTGGTTTCGCCGGTCCGAAAAAAGGAGAGGAACATTTTGCAGCCGTCGGAATTGAGAAGCTGGGAGCCGATGAGGAGAGCGGTGTACGGGGAGGGTGGGGAGATGTCGACGAGGGTGTGGCCTTGGGAAGAGAGAGCAGACACGGTGCGTTCGAGTGCGCGGGCGCAGGCCGGGGATGGGTCGACAACTCCTTGAAATGGCTTAGCAGAAAGCTTTTGGGCGGACAGATTCTGATCTGTTCGTCTTACCATCTGTCCTCATAACGCCGATCTTAAACTTCTTGGTCTCTTTCACTTTCCGTTCTTCATCATTCCGCCACTCAATAGGGTGTACGGTGTGATCCCACAGCCACGGCTTCATCCCAATTAGACTCCTCGAGAAGTAGACTAGATCTTCCAGCGTCCTTGCCATGGGGCTGAACACGCTTGGTATACCCTCTTGTCCAGGCATACTCGTATTCATGCCCATTTTCGGCCAACGTCCCGTGCTACATCTTAACGAGTAGATACCAGAAAAGTGTGCAGGCACTCGTACTGAGCCTGCAACGTCAGAGCCAATGCCGATACGGCCACCACCGTAGGCGAGAAGAGCAGATTCGCCGCCCGTAGATCCTCCCGGGGAGTACTTTGGGTTGTGTGGATTGAGGCAGCGGCCCCATACGTCGTTGGAAGATTCGAAGGAGAGAAGCGTAGTCGGTAGGTTGGTTTTGACGTAGGGCACGGCTCCTAGAGACTGTATCAGGCCGAGCCAATCAGTAACGGCAAGGAATGTTGACCAGCAGCTTTCAGTATCTTGACCAAACTACCATCCTCAGCGTAAGGTTTGCCTGTATTGCGCGAATATCCTACGCTGACATCGAAGCCGCGAACCGCTATTGAATCTTTCAAAGATATAGGTATGCCCGCTAACGGGCCTTTCAAATTGACTTCGTTCTCTGCCCACGACTCTGCTTCAGGCAGCATGACTTCTGTCAGACAATTGATTTTCTCGTGTGCGCGTATGGCAACTTTGCCGTAGGTTCGAAGGATGTCAATCGGTTTGAGGACTTGCTTGTGGACATCTTGAACAATGGTCTCAATGGGCTTGTCCAGTATTTCATGGTCCTGAGATGAGATAGGACTCTGGTATGAGGGAGGTAGGTTGGCGATACGGGTCGATCGTTCAAGCTGTTTCCGTTGGCTGAGAGGTGATTAGCTTGCTGCTATCCAAGTGCTATTGGAGGCGTACCATGCTCGGCGATGCTCGAAGTAATCGAAAGGCGGCAGCATCTTGGGTGCTACGACCAGTTCAGGTGATTTATATATTTCTAGAAGGGAACATGTAGAAGAGGGAGAGACCTAAGGATACACTGATCTCCCCTCTCCACAGCTTCTCGGATCCCCGCAACGGCGACTGAGCTGCGATTAGATAACGGTTGTACATTCTACACTCGGACTAGCTTATGTTTGTTAACATTGCGCATTAAGTAGGATCTGCGACCACAAAGGTCATTGTATTGTAAAGAGGTAAAAACGGTCCGCCGGCGTTCTGTGTGTTCCAGCACGGTCAACATACGGTACGTGCTTCGAGCAGTCAGAAGCACCATTGATTCCGACGGGGCCTTTGTTTGAGGGGCATGTCGTTTGAGTGGCATGCCATCCTGTTAAACAAGGAACTCTTCTGACCAAGATGGCACAACGCGAGCAGCCTAGCTGATTAAGACATCCCCCGCTCTTCTCGGGCAGCGTTGTTGGCCTCCTTGAGGGTCTTACGCTCTGCACGATTTGCTGGACGAGCAGCCTCCTCGGCTGCCCCGGCCTCTGTTCCTTTTTCTCATGTTTCTTGCTTGACCTTGTACTTTGCCTTTCTCGGCGTAATACACGCTGTAATCTCTTGTTCCTTCTCAACAGACCATCGGTTCGTCAAGTGCTCTGCATCTCGGATTTTGTCGGCTATCATCACAGTGGCACGTTGCAGGTGAAGCATTTGCAGTGATTTAGACAATTGGAGACGGTCCAAGAACTACAAGTAGGGTTCGTGCTGAGAAGCAAGCAGTCCAGTTAATGACATATCCTTGTCCTGAAGCATAGTCTCATGCGGCCATGGTGCAAGCCGAACCAAAATCTGATCGAAAAGTTGTCTTGAGGCCTTTCGAATTATCTCAGAGACGGAGCTTGAGCGCACGCTCTCGCTGCTCGTGTTTATAACTAACCCGGCTCATGCTGAGGTGCATCTTCGTCAGTTTCTCTTTTGGAGAGACGTCAAGAAGGATTATGGTGGAAAATAAGAAACACCGCAACACCATTGTACCAGCGCCAATAAGAATCGAAACCATTGCGAATTAAATACCTCTAACCTATGGTACCTGCACCGCCACTTTGTTTATACGTACACCGCAGAAGGCTGAAACTTCCCAATGCGGCTAGATCAAGGTGGTATATACCTGGTAATTCTCCTCCACCATTCACCATCTCATGAATTTCATTCAATAACTCAAGATTTGGTAAGTCTTGCGCAGCCGGTACGGATGCATTGGTGTTTTGCTTTCAGACCACCAACGCTCTGAGAAAAACTTAAATCCTCGTCTCGTCGCGTAGTGCATTTGTTGGCCATCGCTATCTCTGCATGGATCGACCATCAACTCGGCCTAGCCATGTCTCAAAATCCAATGTGCTAATATTATTACAAATGTCTGATCTCTTTCTTTGACGCCGTCACTGGCGAGGACAGGAATATCTCCGGCGTAACGTCTGCTTGGGAAAAGATTGAAACGATCCGTTCCATGGTGCCCTTTTCTATTCTTGCCTGTGTAAGGCCAAAGAAAGCCACAGATCTACTTCTCGTTATAGATCGTGTTTCTGCCTATAAGCTCATCAAGCAGCTTCTGCGACCTCAGTGGTCGGTTTTTTGTCGCCATCCAGTCGGCCAATGCCCTGAGATTCTTCTAAGCGCCCACCTCGGTAAGATCCGAGAAGCCTCATTTAGAGATTGTTCGACTATTGGCTGAGACGCACTATTATCGAGCAAGCGTGAAACTGCTTGATAATGAAAAAGAGACATCTTTAGAAACATTGTGAAGCGAGAGCGTTGGTCGGACATCGAAGAGGTTGGAGGCTGGATTCTCTTGGTACTTAAGAAGGGCGAGATACCTCGCTACATTTCTTCTACATCTGAACCACAGTCTCTTACGGATTTCCTCAAAGCATCTCATCTCTCGTGATTTTCTTGCCTCTGTCTATTTCCTTAAGACGCTCATTGCAACAGATCACGGCCAATCGCTACATCAGCAGCGATTCAGTCTACGATCTCTTTATTCCAGCATAATCAAACGCTTGTTTTACCCTTCCTCTCCAGTCAAACCCGCAATCTCTCGACATGGCTGGACCCGACTACGGTGCTCTTGGAGCAACGTTCAAAATTGTCCGCTTGCTTCAAGTAATTAGTCTCCTCGGCTGCATTGGCATGGCTGCGAACTTCATCTCGGAAATGGTCTCGCAAAACAACACTCCGTCAGAGGAACTTGTCGGCACCCTCAGCGTGGTGGGTATCTCATTGCACCTTGGAGTTTCCAAAGCTGACGTCTGCAACGTAGACTTGCATCGCGATCCTCTACTGCGCAATCACTGTCATCCTGCACATTGACAACATCCTTCCATACCTTATCAACACTGGTATGGATGGTCTGATGCTCATCGCCTTATCTGTTGTCGCTATCGTCGTTGGCAAGCCCCTTTCGTATCTGAATTGCCAAGTCGTCGGCACCTCCAGTGTCGCTGAATCGGCATCTCAGCTGAGCTCCCAGGTCAAAGACACTTTCAACAAGCAAGGTGGAAAGGTTGTGTACAGCAACTGGATTGGTGCGAACAAGACCACATGCTATGAGATGAAAGCTGTCTGGGGCTTGAGCATTGCTCTTTGGTATGTACCTCTTACATTGTCGTCGCCCATCATAATGTCTAATAGATCTCAGCATCCTTTTCGCCTTCTCCGCCATGTGCAGCGTATGCCTCTGGCGTCGTAGCAAGACCGTCCCTCCTAAGGACATGGCTTAAGCAGGCTGTGAGAGAGTACGCTGTGGATGTGAAGATACACTGTCAGAGTCGGGGCCACAAAAAGGAAGAACAATAGACACTCTCATTTAGCGATGCACGGGATTCGGCGTTATGGTGGGGACTTCTGGGGGAAGCCATAGACCTTGGCCTAATAGATTAATGAACGTTTTATGAATCACGCATTTCCCTGTGGAGTAGTATAAACAATCCTCTCAAAAGTTGGTTTATTTCAGCCCAGTTTCATGACTGGTTATTCTACGACGCTGTAGTGTGGGGGGGGGGCTCAGGTTGCGCGATTGAACAGCTCATATCCACTAGGCTTATTCCCGGGTTCAGGCGCAGGCTGTCGTCTTTGTGCATCTCCAAAAGTTAATCGCTCAACAAGTTGGGGTAGTTGCTTCAACGGTTTTTCACACCACCGTCAGACTTTGCGCTGCATATTCAAAGGCTGCATGAGCTTATCTTTCGCTCGCTCATTTGCTGGCAGTCCAATGGGACTCGAAATTCGGTCGTGCCGGGGATGACGTTTCCCACATGTCTCCAAAGTACCTTATATGTCTCCATATTACCGGCATGAAGAAGAAGCGCGAGCCCGACGATGATCGTGCAGATCAATGCCGCGTGCCGTGGTGAAAAGGAAGCCACAATAACAACACCCTGGTCCCTGAAGCCCAAGGACACGGTCGAGCCCCACGAGCCCCAACCCAGAAGTGTGGGACAAGAATTCCCCACTCTGTGGAGAGTTTTACCGACAGAATGTTCCCGCTCCTGGTTCCGTCCGGAGGTAGTATTTGAGGCTTTTTGATTGGCTTCCAAGTTGCCGGATTCCCAGGTGTTCAATGCAAATCCCTGGTTCAGTTCCAACGCCAAAATCTTTTAATCGCTGCATCAAGCTTTTCCCCTCTCAAATCTCGACGCCATGAAATAAATGAACCCCTCCGATGGACAAATAGTCCCATCACTAACTAACCTTGATGATGTGGCAATCCTACTCTGACATCCCTCATGATTTCTCACTCTCTATCTCCCCCCCCCAGTCTTTCCCTTTTTTCACCTCCGCACACTCTTCCCCACGCTCAATTCCGCCTGCGCCTTCACCCAGTGCAAAACCGACACCTGAGTCTTCACATCCCACCTGTCTCATAAATATATACCAAGAGCTTCGGCAAGGCACTCGACTCGAGCCACATGGATGGCTTCAGGCAGTGATGATATCCCCATTGTGACACCAGCCTTCTCCTTTGCACTCTCATCAGCACTGATGCAACGGTAGGATTCGAGATACAACGACGATGAAGACGCTGGCTCAATCTTCGGAGACTCTTCGTGAGCAACTAGATCTTATCCCCGCAAAGCAAATACCCTCTGATTCCATGGTAGCCGAATGTCCTTGGATAGCGACCTGAAGCACTACCGGCTTGAGAACGATAGAAGGTATCACACCTACCGTACGTTTGGACACCTCATATCGCAATTGGGACCGAAACGGCTTGCTGATGGAGTCAGGCGATGGTGAGTACTGGATTCCTCATGACGATGAAGCTCTACGACTCGACTTATATGCGTGAGTCTACCCATAAATTGCTTATTCTATTTAACGGTTCTAACGAGTCGACCTGGAATCGCAGGCATCATATGTTTATCCTGACGCTCAACAACAAGCTATTCCTCGCACCGATAAACAATCCAAAGCGAGTCATGGACGTGGGCACCGGCATTGGGATATGGGCATCGTATGGTCTACAACTCGACCTCGGAGATGACGTGGCTGATGTCTCGCAGGGACGTCGCCGACAAGTTTCCGGAAGCAGAAGTGATTGGTAGACCACCAAGCAACCATCATAAAAGTGTCTGTACTGACACGTCAACTCAGGGACCGATCTTTCCCCAACCTTCAGGGCAACTCCGGCCCCAAATCTCCTGTTCGAGATCGACGACTGCTGCAGCGAATGGATCTACCCTCCTAATCACTTCGACTACGTCCACGTCCGATTCCTATACGCTAGCATTGCCGACTGGCCCGCCTTCTACAAAGAATGCTTCGAGTGAGTGAGGCTGGAAATTACCGCCTGGCTCTCTCAAGCTGACCTTGACCCCGCGCAGCCATATCGCCCCTGGTGGCTACATCGAACACAGCGAACCACGCCCAGATTTACTATCGGATGACGGTTCCATCGCTCCAGGCGACATAATGCATCAGTGCTCAGACCTCGCCAAAGAAGCCAGCCAGAATTTTGGGAAGAATATCATGATAGCGCCACACATCAAGACTATGATTGAGGAGGCGGGCTTCGTCAACGTAGTGGAGAAGCAATACAAGTGGCCTATTGGTGAATGGCCTGTTGATCGCAAATTGAAGGATATCGGACGCTGGAATATGCAGCATTGGTTTGAGGGATTAGATGCTTGGACGTTACGGCTGTTGACGCAGTACTGTGGGGTGAGTTAGCATTCTGTGCCGAGTGCCATCTCTTGATTCCGAGAAGAGGGGTGGTTTTGCGAAGGGCGATGGCTGACTGAGAGCAGTGGACGTCTGATGAAGTCAAGGCGTGGACGGCGCGAATGCGCACTTCCCTTGTGAATCCAAAGCATCATGCTTATCACATGATGTATGTTGTACTTCCAGCCCTTCGTCGCTATGTTTGAGCGGCAGGGTTGACAAGCTTGACAGAAACGTTGTATACGCTCGCAAACCGTTATGACGCCTCTCCCAGCTTTGTTCTCTTGGCACTTTCAGCCGACGAAATCTACCATACTCGTAGTCCGACTATTCGCTCCGCTTATAGTAGTCCTCAACTCAAAGACGCATTAGTCTTAAAGACGCGAAAATCTATTATTCCTTTCTAATTCTATATAGATCTCGTTCTATAACTTAAATCTTAATAAATATATTCTAATATATATATATTAGCTTTTATAAATTATAATCCAGCTTTCGAATATAAGCCTTAATAGTCTTATTAATCTTTTTTTATTAAATTTCCTTAGCTTAAATAACTCGCTTTAAAGCCTTCTTCATCTTTTCTATAGCTATTTCTTTTATTATAATTAGAGATTTACGTATTTAATCTATTAACATTTATTCTCTCTTCTAAATAATTATTCTAGAAAGTATCTTATATACTCGCTTAACTATAATCTCTTTATAAATAATCTTAATATTTTACTCGATAATTTATCTCGAGTAGCTATTAATAATAAATTCTTTTTATAAATTAGACTAATAGCTATTATATATTCTTTAAAATAATAAAAGTCTAAATAATAAATAATTCTTTAAATTATGAATTGTATTTAATAACGTTTTTAACTTTATAAGGAATTCTAGTAAGTATAAGAGATATAAACTTATCTAAAGTTATAGCGCGGGGTATTAGATTTCTAATTTTTTTAAATATTACTTTAGAGTTATAGAGTATAAAACTAGTTTTTCGAAAGGTTAAATATATAGTATTGAGTGTAAAGGTTTAGATTTTTATTTAATTAAATACTACGAGAAAATCGAGCCTATTAAAATCGCTACTTTTAAGATATATAGTTAAATCTATAGTCTTTATATAATAGTATTTAAATAATTAAAAGTATTCTATATCTAATAACTATATAATATATATAGAATATAAAAAAAGTATAAATAAGTTAATCTTTAATTATTAGATAAATATATGAAATTCGTAGATATAGTAGAATCCGAAGTCGTCTAGAATTAAGATTCTTTATTCTCTTACTTAATAATAATAAGAAAATATATTAAAATATAATAGTTAATCGTATATTAGTCGATTATTTAAATATTTAATAAATAAAATAGCTAATATAGTATCTAAAGATAAGTCGTTTTTATCCTATTTATATAGAATATAAGTATCTTTTAGAATTATAAATAGAGGTATACTTTAATCTTCGATGTTAATATATTTCACGAATATAATATAATTATAATTATCTAAATCTACGAATTATAGAGGCTTACTTTTATTTAAAGTAATAATATAATAAATAATTTTATAATTAATTCGAAAGCTAGTCTTATCTATATTTTAAATATTTTAATATTATATATTCTTCTCTTTATAACCCTATCGAAATTTCTTATATATTACGCGTATACTCTTAATATTATATATATTCTTACGCTCGATACTAAGAGATTTTTACTTTCATTTATAATATTTAAAGTATTATTTTATAAATTATATAGCTTAATCTTTATTAAATAATTTAAAAGAATATAATATAAATTCGAAGCGATTTTTAGAATATATTTAGTAATATTCTAAATATAATTTAGTTAAAATAAATATTTAATATTATTTAGACGATTAATATAATTATATAATAATTATTCTTAAATTATAATAAGATATATATAAGTAAATATTCGAGTATTTCTAAAAAGCTTATCCTCGAAATCGTCTTTATATCTATCGCGATTTAAGATTATAATACTCTACAACCACTATAGCGCTGTGAAAATAATTATTTTTATACTTATTAATAATCTTTTAAACGAGTTTCTCTTATTTAGAATAAGATATAGATATAATGTGATAGAATAATAATAGATTATAATATAGAGTATTAAATCGCGAAAAAACGCGTCTTTAAGACTAATGCGTCTTTGAGTTACGAACTACTATAAGCGAAGCGAATAGTCGAATTACAAATACTACCTTACTTGTATTTGCACGGCATTAGCGCATAGCGTGACAATTCATGTAACGACCAAGATTTTCATTATTTAGAGGAGTATTCATAAAGCATTTTCGGATGTAAGGGGAGTCCGATATGATCCTCACTCATCATAGATATGATATTGATTTATCACCCTGGTTGCTTGAATTGGTTGCCGGTTTTGATGGGTTTTACAACGTAGCCAACGCTAGTGACGATACCGGATGCCGGCAATGCCGCCCACGTGTATCAGTAGGAGCCAGTATCTGCCGGCTAGCGTCGGCCTCAGTGGAATCTTTGCCTGCTCTCACACAAACTCCTCTATTAAAGTACCTAGGGCAAATACGCTTCTGTATCCATTCTTCCTGTAATCCAATCATCTCAACACCCCCAGGTTTATTGAAGCTCCCATTGAGCAGGAGGATGTAGTATTCTATCTTTCACAATAGCACCTGGCCTTCCTCTACTTCCCCTCTTCCCCTCTTTCCCTCTCTTTCACCCTCTGACTTCCCCTCCGATCCAAGACTCCACTACTCTGAGGCAGCCTTATCGCCGCCTCAGCGAATGTACACCCTGAGCACGTGGGGTTATCGACAGGGCAGAGACTGCCAGTGATTGAGGACTTTCGATCGACCGGAGCACCAGTCAATCATCCCAGACTTCCAGATCGAACCTGCTGCAGGATGTTGGAACCGCGGCGGTGATTGGGAGCCGGAGGGTTTCTCTGGATCCCGTTCACCAACGGCGGGGAAGATCGGCGGACGATTTGATCTGGGAACCCGGATGTGTGTCTTTCCGGGGAAGTACTATGTATCTATTCTTCGAAGGAAGCAGTCCCGATTTTGCTTGGCAGTCCGATACAGAATTCAGCAGTCAATTCCACCGAGGACCGGTGGATCTGAAGCAAATTTTCTCGCTGTTTATGACACCACTGGAAGCTACGACTGTGGTCGACGCACGCACTTGTATCACATAGCTCAACGATATCTTGATCCCATCTAACCGTCAATATGTTTGCCATCTCTCCGTCTTCTTCGATTGCCGTCCATCACTCTTGCATCCTCACTCGTGATCTCCTAGCGGTGAATCTTCCTTGGGACAGGTCTAGACGACTTGAATAGCACGATTCAAGCACCAAGCACACCTGTCGTCCTGGCGGCATACTTCTCCCCAGTGCTCTCCTACCCTGGTTGCTCTTTCAACAAGTGGACGTGCCACATCCTCGCAAGCCAACAGCTCTCCCTAACACATGTATACTCTTCATCGTCCTTGCATCTTCAACCAGAGCTCACAGGTGGTATAATCGCCACCTCATCCCCCTCCTTGATCACCACGCCCGCTTTCTCCTTGCCACTCTCTTCTTCGACGTCCACATACTCCAAGTTCACAGTCACAGCGCAGCTGTCTAGCACCGCCTTTGTAATCCCCGAATACTTCTTCTCCAGAACGCTGAACAGGTCGCTGATAGGCAGTGGGGCGGGGAAAGTATCAGAAGATTTGCGGGTGAAGGAGGCGGCGGAGGCGAAGTAGAGGAGGCGGAAGTGTTCTGAGGGAGGCTTTCCGGACATCTGGTCGGGGGTGTTGAGGTCAGCGGATATTTGACAGATTGGCTAGGGAAAAGAGTACACGAGGGGGGTGGTTGAGAGTCAGGATGGTCTGTTTCTCTGAATGGAAGCCACAAGGCGCTTCTTCGGATAATACATGCTATTGTTTTTGATGCTCATCATGCGTGCCGGAATTTCATGAATAATGAAGGAATGCGAAGACTTACGTTGGATGTGGTTCATGAGTCTATATAGGTAGAGCAAACCAGTCGAGCCAGTCCGCAGAGGGCGGAGAAAAGCGCCAAGACTTTCAGCCCTATCGACGAAAGTTTTGTCCTGAGGAGCTTCGATTGCCATTGCTGTCATCATATGCTCCTTTTTCCTCGAGGGTTGCCCTCGCCTGCTACGATCATGGCAGCCAGACAGAGACTCAGGGCGGTCCTAGATGCCAGAAGACCCAGCCAACCATGCTGGCGCTGCGCGCTGGACCTACCTCGTTACAGCTCCACCAGTCCGGCCGGCATACCAGACATCCCGGAGAAGACCTACCTCGCCCCCTATAGCCATATACTACAGCATATGATCCGAGACACGTTGGAGTCTCATTTCCCCCCTATACGCCCAGTTCACAAAAAATCGCCCCCAAGAAGCTTGATTAAAATGAAACCCGCAACGATGCAAGGCGCTCGCAAGGCTCGTATACGGGTGATGAACGGTGGTCGACCGGTGGCTGTGAACACTGAGTCACAATCACAATCCCAATCCCAATCGAGGCGAAGCGATCACACGCCTCGTGTACGAACGGTCCCATATTTGGTTCTGACGAAGTACTCCAAGGAGTCTAGGTTTAACCTGGACCAAGATGCGAAGGAGGTCTTGTCTGAGGCTGGGCATGAAACGGGCACGGTTCTGAGGAAGGTCTTGTCTGAGGATACCTATAGAATGGACCTGGATGCGAGGAAGGCCTCGTCTGAGTCTAGGCGTGAACCGGACCTGGTTCGGAGGAAGCATTTGTCTATGTCCACGCATGAACAGGACCTGGTTTCGGAGCAGGTCTTGTCTCAGGAACCGGACCTGGTTCTGAAAAAGATCTCGTCTGAGGATAATTATAAGTTGGACCGGGTTGCGAGGAAGGCCTCGTCTGAGTCTAGGCGTGAACGGAAACTGGTTCGGAGGAAGCATTTGTCTATGTCCACGCACGAACAGGACCTGGTTTCGGAGCAGGTCTTGTCTCAGGAACCGGACCTGGTTCTGAAAAAGATCTCGTCTGAGGATAATTATAAGTTGGACCGGGTTCGGAGGAAGAAGGCCTTGTTTGAGTCTAAGCGTGAACGGAAACTGGTTCGGAAGAAGGCCTTGTCTGAGTCTAGGCGTAAACGGAACCTGGCTCGGTGGAAGCACTCGTCTAAAACTACGCACAGGCCGGACCGGGTTCCGAGGAGGGTCTTGTCTAACGAATCGGACCTGGTTTCGAGGAGGGTCTTGTCTAACAGACCAGACTCGGTTCCGAGGATATACTTGTCTGAGCCTAAGGCGTCAGCTATCGATTATGTGGCCAAAGGGAATAAAAAAACTCGTTTGATACGCAAAGCTGGCCCCCCCTTAGGCAAGGGTTCAACAAACAAAGATGAAGTTTTCCTTGAAGCATTGACACCCTTGCTGGACGAGTCCAGAGACCTTCCTACGTCAAAATTGCCAAATCCCACTAGAGAGATTGGGGCGTCAACTTCAAGCACCCTCTTATCTCCTCAGGATCGCTTGATTCGACAGTTTGCTTTAGGTAGGAGCCAGATGTCGAATCGTCAGAGCATGAAGTCATCGAAAACACCGTTCTCGACCAGGACTCCTAAGGCCCCAAACAGGCACTATGGTACTGCAACTGTAAGTGAAAAAGACTGCTTTTTCTTTCACATACTAAGGCCTTTCACAGAGTCAGGCTCCCCGGGCTGATGCCCCGATCGACCCCACCGTTATTGGAACGAATCCAGATGGGCTCTTCAAACACAACTCTGGAGGCATCCGAGAGGCGCTCAGATTGTGGCAGGAGCAACACGACATTACTTTGGCTGATACGTCAGGTCGGCCTCCCTCAAGTACGCTTAGCGACACCCAGAACCTATTCACCCAGTCAGGCGAAGACGAGAGCTTTACCGCCATTGCCTCGGACGAGAAAATGGAAGATGATGACGACGTAGACTTCGGATCTGAAGAGCGAATTCCGGACATCTTCGCTCATCAAGTCTTTCTTCGACGAGGTGATCTAGTCGAACTAGTGTGAGTCTTACGCCGAGACAGTGGAAGGCAGTGCAGACTGACGATTACAGAACGGCCTCGGAGCCAGTCTTGGCCATCTTTGTTCGAAACGTGGCCGACCAGTGCCAATTCTACACTATTCGAGGTGAATGGGTCAACCGAGAGTCAGGGGTCGCACGGTGGGGAGTCTCGCGGTTTGTGGATCCGGATGATTTGAATGAAATTCTTCCGTATCTCCCCTCTGAGGAGGTTGCCGAGGAGAAGATGAATCGTCTCCAACCCGTTGATGTCCATGCTCCCCGAGGTGCTGGAGCTAAGGTCATAGAGCAGATGTCGCTCTTCCACCAGACCGCCGACGCTGTGTTCAGAAAGCATGCCGATAGAATCAACCGCCTTTACGAGATTATTGCTCCCTCTGAAGCCTTCGCAGATCGAACATATATGTCGCTCAAAGATATTGCCCTGAAGGTCTTGATGAAACAAGACCCTTCCGAACTTACTCAACCGATGATGTGGACCATTCATAGAGCTATAAGCCAATGTCAGAATATTACGTGGGATTTCTTGAACTACCGTCAGAATCCGGTATACGAGATTTATCCTCAGCAAGGCTTGAAGTACATTTCTCAAGTCAGACAGTGGGTTCGTGAGTATCAAGAAGCGATAATCCAAGACACAACCAATGAATCGATGTCCAGCATTGATTCCACCTTGATGGCGACAACGCGTTCGCTCAATCCAATTGCAACGTTCGTCAAGAAAGCTCGAGCTGCTATACAGCAAAGCCGACAGACAAGACCTCTTTCAAAATCGGGTTTGATTGGTCCAAGCTCGATAAGAATAGACATCGACAAGGGGTTTGGGGGCAAACCTTATATAGAGAAAGATATGCAAGAATTCGACGATAATGAGAAAATCATAATTCATTATCTTGACGTGTGGGCGACGTCGTCATACGTCAATACTTATACATACCTGGCATCTTTGGGTCCCATGATCCTTCGTGCCATAGGAATGTATGGAGGTTTTGAGCTGAATGAATCCAGGGGGTTCACTCTACTTCAGGAATTAGGCGTCGTTACGCCGTGGGAGAACAGGACCGTGTACAATATCAGAAACCTGAAACTTCCTGGGCACGATGGTGGCTCCGGAGAGGCAAGCCGATTATTGCTCGATGCTCGTAAAGAGGCCAGGATGTTTAAGTCGAGGGATTCCATGGAGGGCTTGAGAAGGGACTGGGGTGACATGCCGGTTTTCTGCATCGACAGTGCGGAGACTCTGGAACGTGACGATGGAATTTCTTTGGAGCGTGTTGATGGTGACCCATCTGCGCATTGGGTGCATGTCCACGTCGCCAACCCATCTGCTTTCATCACTCCTGACTCTGCCATGGCAAAGCACGCTGCGTCGCTTGCAGAATCGGTCTACTTCCCAGAAAGGAAGTACCCTATGCTGAACCCGAAGGTGACATATGACCAACTCAGTCTTGCAAATGATCGGCCTTGCATCACTTTTAGCGCAAAGTTCTCGGCAGATGGTGACATGCTCGAGAAGAAGGTTACACCCGGGATCGTACGCAACGTCCATTATCTTACGCCTCAAATGGTGGGCCAGGGCCTCGGCTTGGCAGAGACCGACGAAGAGTTGGAGACTGTGTCAATATTGACCGTGGGCGGACGCATGCCTGTTCAGCCTATCGACGATTCAAGCCAGACAGCCAAAACGTTGACGGATCCTGGGCACATCAACCTACTGCACAAGCTGCTCGAGCTTGGTGAAGCCGCTCGTCACAAGCGAGCCCAGGCTGGAGCCCCGGAATTCTATTCATCAAGCCGCATAGCACACACGTATCCGGTAGTCTATACCTCCAAACACGTAATGAAGAAATACTTTAAGATCAAAGACGAGAAGGTGCGACAATTCGAAGGCGACCCGATCATCACTCTACAAAGGACGACAGAAACCTACGGCCTGGTCGCCAAAATGGTCTCCGACCTCATGATCATAGCCGGCGACGTCGGCGCCTCCTGGTGCTCCGACCGCAACATCCCCATCCCCTACCGAGGCATCCTCCGCAACCCCGAACCGGCCTCCTCGCCCGAAGTCTTCAAGCGCGAAGTCCTCGACCCCAAAATCGCCAAATACGGCCACGCGGAGCAAAGCGACCTCCTCCGCTACATGCGCCTCGTCGGCCAAGCCCAAGCCTCCGACCGGCCTCTCGAACACCCCACCCTCGGCCTCCCGGCCTACTGCAAAGCCACCTCCCCGCTGCGCCGCTACATCGACTTGTACGCGCACTGGCAGATCGAAGCTGCCCTCCGGCACGAAGCCGCCACCGGCACCTCCCTCGTCGGCAGCACTGACGGATCCTACCTGCCCTTCTCGCGCGCCCAGGTCGAAGAGTACGCGGGCGGCGCGATCCACCGCGAGAAGAAAATCAAGCTCGCCAAGACGGCATCGACCCGCCACTGGATCTGCCAGGCGCTCTTCCGGGCCTTTTACTTCAACGAAGCGAGTCTGCCCGAGACGTTCGAGGTGACGACGATTGACGGCCGGGCGCGGCGCGGGCACCATCCGGGCTGGGCCAGGGTGTGGAACATCAAGGTGCAGTTGAAGGATAGTGCCATCACGCTGAAGGAGGGCGGGTGGAAGGTCGGGGATGTGTGGGAGGCGAGGCTGATCGGGGTGGACACTTATCATAAGAAGATTGACATGGAGCCGGTCAGGTTGATTGAGAGGGAGGGTGGTGCTTCGAGCAAGATTTGAGACATACTTCCTTTGGATCTCTCTATTTGATACCCATTCTCCACCGTATCTATCGCACTCGGTCGGGCTCGTCTTTTGGGAAATCGCCATTCCACAACATCGAAACCACAATGGAATCAAGCACAACCCTACCCCAATCCCTTCCCGATACATATTGATCCTGTAGCGCGTGACCATCCATCACATCCCCCACTCCCTCTCCCTCCCCCCCACCAACCACCCCGTCACCGCGCCTCCCCGACCCCCGCCGCGAACACACCCACCATCGTCTGCAGCTTCCGTCCTTGACGGCCATTACTACCGTGGGACCTTTTCGTCGGAGAGAAGTGTCGGTGTTAGCGCTGGCGTGAAGAGCGTTGCCGACGGATGCCTCACCCTTTGTCGTCGGTGGGAGGTCGGGGTATGGTACGGTACTGATGCTTTCGGATGACTGGCTGAGATGAGTCGGTTGGAATTATTGGGAAGGGAAAGGAAGGGAAGGGAAGGGAAGGGAAGGGAAGGGAAGGGAGAGGAAAGGAGGGGAAGGGAAGGAAGGGAAGGGAAGGGAGGGAGGGAAGGGATGGGAAGGGAAGGGAGGGGAGGGAAGGGAAGTTGGGGGACAATGGCTTGCGGTAGGGTTGTGATCGGTTCGTCGGGTATGATTGAAATTGTCAAAGGGGGTTGAGAAGTATTGACTACCACCTTGAGGCCGAATTTGAGTGATAGAGCGTGTGCACCGCGTGTTCAATGATATCAAGTACTGCGAGACAGCAGTGCAGGTGTAGGCTTGAATTATTATTTATTAAGCTCGGAGTGTATACACCCTGCTTTGGTAGAGCCTGCAGGCCAAGCACCAGCTTCTGCTTACTTCAGCGATTGTATGATTGGTGAAGCAATCGAGCACTTCCTCCGCCACTGCTAACGCGCTACACGCCATTCGTAGACATCTTACGCACAGCGCTGGCGAAGCCATCCTCACTCGCTGCCATGGCCTCGGCCGCTGCTGCAACCTGTTGAGGCCCGACTTGGCCTTCCTTCACTCCGTAGCCGTTCACGTTCGATTTTCCCATGGCGGCCACCTCACTCAGAAGGTGCAGTGCTCCCTCTGGGAACACGTCCTTCTCCAGCGGATACTTATCGCCCAAGTAGTTCCATTGTCTAGGGGTGGGCGTAGGCTCGTGAAGATCGAGTATCTGAATGAAGTTCGTCGCCGGAAACTTCCCACCGCAATGTTCTTTGATTTCTCCAAGGGTCATGTGCTTAATCTCCTGGAACAAATCGAGAGACGCGTGGAGAACCATTAGAAAGCTGTGTGCTGGAAGAGACTTTCCACCTTCGGCACCAGTACGCAGTAAGTCGATCAGTCGGCCCACATACTGCTCAACCGTTTCCGCGCTGAGCGACATTTGCTTGCGATATTCCGGGTCGGCTTTTCCAAAATTAAATATCTTCGTCAGAGTCAAGGTTCCATGGGCAATCTGAGCAAATTGGAATACTGGCAAACTCCGCAAACCTTGGACACTCAGGCCCAAGAAATTGTCCAGCATCCCAAGGGTCGAGGATAAAGGCGTGTTCGACGGGTCTGCCATGGTAGACGGAGATGACTCAATTCGTTGTTTGCCTCGAGCGCCTGGTACTATGGCAGGTTCAACCCCCACGTAATATTGCATTGCTAGTTCGTGCATGTAGAGATTCACCACGTTGAGAGCGAACGACAGTGGCCCTGCAGATACATTAGCCATGTCATACTGAAGACTTGGACGGCATTGATCAAGTCTGTGTATGCAGAGGCTTGTCTGGGTGGGTGGATGAAAGCTTACTTGATCTGAGCTCGGAAAAACTGCGCACCTCCCACTCAGATACCTGCTTCGCAAAGTGTGCGTGTGCGCTTCGGGTCCTGGCGTCGCGGGCTTCCACAGTAATTTCGGAATCCTCCTCTGCTGACGCCTGCGCTGCAAATTCATCTGCTAACCTTTGTAGCTGTACCCATCGACAGAGAATCTTGTCAGATGGGAAAGCATCTTCTGATATCTCTAAAGCTTTGAGGCAGTCTTCCGTATGTGAACTGGGTTGGACCAGATTTGGTCGTCTCATTCCCATTGCTATGCTGCATTTTCCGAACGATCAGCTTTGCAGAATTCGACATCAAAATTGCCCGGGAATGGCTTACCTCGAACACAATAAGTAGCAACCTAGCCAGGCGCGTCTGCATTCGGTTGTACAGGGATCGGACAGGTAGGACTTTGGCTTGGGAAGGCCAAGAATCTGCTCCTTCCTAACAATTAGTAAAGGCTGTCTCCTGTGCATGCCAAGATCTATCGCCATGACAGCAGTCATATAGATGAATTGGTAGTATTTCGAGTCACCGTTAGGCTCAGGCCAGTACCAAATTGTGACTACCTGCAGAGCTTGGACCAGTTCCAAAGATTTTTCGCCGTGGACGAAAACTCGGTCTGCTAGGATTCGCATGATCTCCTTCGTGAGTGTAGCTTGTAAGTCGGGATAGTCTTGTCCGGAGGCGACACTAAGGATAGCGAGGAACAGGACTGGGCTTCTCTTGCGTATAGTATCGGGCCTGACATCGGGTGCAAATACAACGATCGGCATGTGAGGTGCCATGTGATCGGTGTAGTGCCTGAAAAGCCCATTGGCAGTCTCTGCGTGTACAATACCCCGGCCGACGACATCTGCCTCTCCGTAAATGACAGCGTCTACCTCTCTTCTTGGCTCGAGATCTGGACCCCCGGCCTCCGACTTTGGCGGTGCGAACAGTCGCGGCCCCATGTTGGCCACATTAGCCGGAGAGATTTGACTCATGGCTTCGGAACCACTGAAACGACGCGACCCAGAGCTTCCACTCTGTTGATACTCGGACAAGCGTCTCTTGCGACTGGTACCAGCCGATGTGGTAGTGTATGGGGGAGTCGGCTGGTTAGATCTGCCATCTGAAGATTCGATCTGTGGTGTGTCTCCATCTCCGTATCCATCATCTTCGCTTCCGCTGACATTGCCTTCTTTGGTAGCGTGTAGACTGGCTGTAAGAGCATCAATCTTTCTTTCCAGCTCGGCAACTCTGCTGTCCGTCTTCTTCTGCCTCTTTCGACTCGGGGCCGTAATAACACAATTGCGGTTTGCCTTCCTACACCTCTTGCAAGGCCCCGTGCCCGGGTCCGGTTCGCATCTCACCTTGAGTCCGCGGCACGCCTCACAGGCTCTCGGCCGTTTGGTGTCATTATTGAACCCGGCTTCTGCGGACGATGGAGCCGCCTCCGAATTGGTCTGATATGCTTGATAATTAGCGGCCTGTTGCATTGGCGGATGCTGTTGGTCTGGCGGAGGGCCATAATACGGATTGTAATCATCTTGCTGCCAGTGGTGTGGGGCGCTGTAGGGGTGCTGTGGTGGTTGTTGTTGCTGCTGTGGTGGAGGAGGTGGTGGAGGCAAGCTATGAGCGGGAATGTAGCTGATTGGGGGGAGATTTGAATACTGTTGGGGAACTTGGACCGACTCTTGGAGACGAGGATCAATGTCACTGGCCTGCGTTTGAGAGATAGGATATGGGGGCCGCTCGGCATCCATGTTGAGAATTTGGGTTCCTTGGAGTCGGTTTAAAACTGGCCGATTCACCGCGTCGGTGCGGGAGGCGATATCTTCCTCCGATCAGTAAAGTAGCGACTAGCAAGGGAGCTTTCACAGGCGAGACCGGCTTGATTATTTCACCACAGCAGCTGCAGAGAGACAGACCATGCGAAATCCAATGGCTACTCCATATCAAAAATGAGTCACACGGTGGGTCTACGGAAGAAAAAGGAGAGGTGGGTGAAGTCAAACGTGCATGAAAACGCCTAACGTGATTTGGTTTAGGGTAAGTGTATGTATTGACACTCGACTACTTGTGTACTACTTGTGTACTACTTGTGTGCTGGTATGATCAAACACTTGAATGAGCGCGTGTTGGATCAGTGCATGTATTCATTGAGCTTTTCCACAAAAAGCACAGTTTTTCATCTGTGTGCTACTGTGCGTAGTCAACTCCATGTGAGCAGAGTAGTGACATGCTGAACTCCATCTTCTTCCACCGTAAAATCTAAAAGCCACATTACCCTCTCTCTAGTCCTGTTCCTGCTCTCAAGGACTGTCTGGACTCATGAACCACCAGTCTCCCCATCACAACCCCCAGAACTCATCCTCCCTGCTCCCTGGCATCGCAATCTCTGCCTCCAGATCCGTCATCTCCTCCCCTAGACCTGCCCACCTGCACATTTCGGCGTCAGCATGGCCTCTTTGTGGCAAAAAAAAACACCATGTTACAAGACGGGTTCGGGGCCTAAAACCAGTGTATTGCTTGCGGCTCAAACCCATTGTTTGATCAGAGAGAGTTCGCTCGGAACCATGCACTTACTTATATCCCGCCCACTCATGGAGCCCATTGAGCTCTTTGAGACGATTCAAGATGTCCTGTGACCCGTCGATGGACATCTCGCCCTGAAGGCGACCCTCAAGCTGGTCGATCTCGGCCTTCGCTGTAGTCATGTGACTCAGAAGCTGGCGCCTCTGATCATGCATCACCCCCAGACGCTCTTTGTTGCTCAGTCCACTGGACTTGAGGCCTCTCAGCTCTCTAGCAAAGCGTTCCAGCGAAGCTGGTGTCGAAGGACGCGTAGTGGCTGGCCGCACAGTCGGAGTATCAGATGCTGGCGATGGAGGACCAGCAGTGGTGGCGATTTGGCTGCGTGGCGTGAAAGACGCAGCCATTGGGTTTAGTGTGGGTAAGATACCACCCACACCAGCCGTTCCTGAATCATGGTGAGCCAAGAGTGCTTTCAAAAGCATGGTGTACAGCCTTACCTTCTTGACCAACACCTGTCTCTCCCTGATTTGAAGTACCCAACTCTAAGGGCACGTTCCCTTCCATACGAGCCGTTTCTAGTTTGATGTGAGCCAAGTTGTGAGTCAAAAAAAATGTTGGCTTGCCTACCTTTGTTGTCAGTATTGGCATCCATATTGTCTGGATGACGGGAAACTTTGGGTATGCTGCCACGAAAAGGTGCCGTTCCTAAACTGAGATGAGCCAAACATGCGTGAAAGTATAACACCTTGCCTTACGTCTTGACCTGATGCACTGAGGTTTTCAGGAATGCTACCACAAAGAGGTGTTAATTCTAGCCTAAGATAAGAAAGGAGTCTGTAAAAGTATGGCACTTTGCCTTACCTCTTGACCTGATACACTGATTTTTTCAGGTATCTTGTCCCAAAAGAACACCCCTCCAGACTCAAGACGAGCAACAAATGCGCAAGACTATGCTCCCTTTCAGATACCTTGCCTAATGAGTAGGATGCAGTGGTATGAGAAGAAGAAGGATAGTTTGGAGCCGGCGGTGGGAATATATACGCGGAGATGCTGCAGAGATTCACTTCCGGACGCGTGTGAAGAATATGTTTATGTATAGAGTGATAGACGCCAAAGTGATGCGAGACGGGAGTGTGATATAGAAGAAGCAGTGACAAAAACGGCAGCGTGATAGGGATTGTAAGTAGTGATGAGTGACGGACGCAGTGACAGAAAGCACAAGGAGTGACATAGGATGGAATGAATACATCTGTCTTGTTCACTTTTGCACGCCTTCACTATCCACATGTGATTCTGTGAGGTCTAGAGAAATGGCTGGATGGGTATATGCAAATATTACAAAGCCACACACATATATGCATTCAGACAGCAACAAATCAAAAAACATTTTTGGTTCGTCAAGCACCATTTGCAGCACCAGGCATTCTGGTATCTTCAGTCTCTTCGGCCTCCTCTTCTAGAGCATCTCTCTTCAAATGCCTACTCTGATGATACACATAGCCTACCAGCATCACACCCACCACAAAAGCTACCACCAACAATATAATATTGACAGGCAGCGGATTCCGATGGAAGACCTTGTGAGTCAGGGCGTCCAGGCCTGACTGCGAGAAATTGAGCAGACCGGCCAGGCAGATGATCAGCCCGTAAACCTTGCCAAATGTTTGGAAGCCGAACACCTTAGCTGCGTAGTCGGAAACGGCGGTGTAGTAAAGGGGCCGGTAGAGAACGAAGAGTACAATATTGCCGTAAGCAGCCCATAGGAATGGCAGAACACCTAGAACGCCGATCGCTGTAGCCACAAACACGAGTAACGCGAGCGTGAAAGGGGTGCTCGTGTTATCGAGCACAAGGCCAATGAATGGTATACTCAGCACGCCGCCTACTGGTAAAGCGACATCAAAGACATGGTTGACTTGCTCACCCAGAGCGTCACTGTGGAGCATGTACTCATACTGAGTTGTGACTGTGGCGACGAAGTAATTAATCCTCGTCATCTGGACGACAGTGAACAAGGCGATGAAAATAAACCAGGGAGTCATGATCTGTTGCATAGCCGAGCGACCGTGTAGAGCACCCCACACGCCACTGATCTGTTTCTTCTTCTCTTCTTCTGTCTGCTGTTTAGTGGCGGATTTGCCGAGAAGAGATGTCGTCTCCGAGACTACGCTTTCTCGATGCTGGCGCCGCCTCACTGTATTCTCAGCATCCGGGTTGGCAGAATCGATCTCCTCGGTCCGTTCCTCCGCCTGAATTATGAGCTCACCAACTGTCTTATAAGAGTTGGCAGGCATTACAAGGATTTGTACAACTAAAATGAAGATAGGAACGACTAGATAAACCAAGAAAAACTTCTGAGGCGTAAATGATCCATGAGACGCCGTATAGATCAATCGATAGAAAAGAAAAACGGCGCTTGATGAGTCGAAAGCGCCGGTAAGCAAGGCGAGGATGAGGCCTGAATGTTGGGGGAAAGTGTTCGAGAGTTGAAAAGAAGAAATGAATACAAAAGGGCCGCCCAGGGCAAGGAAGAGGTACCCCGGAATATATGCATCGAAAGGTAGTTGTGTCGCGAAAGCCATGAGGAGAGTACCGATGGTGAGAAGTATGCTGCCGATGATGCCGCTGATACGGGGGCCGTACCTATCAAGGACGGTACCAACGGGGAGAGCGCAGACGTTTGTTGCTACGGCGGCTGTTGTGAACATGAAATTGAGCCTAGCAGAGTTCCAGCATCAGCAGGATTCATAGCCTTCCCAGTAGCAGAAAGCCTACCGTATTTCCTGCTCGTAGCACGTCGTCCCCAATTCACTACTCCTGAATTCGTCTCTCTCACAGAACTGACTGTAGACCCCCTCCTGAATCAGGACCGGTTTAATCGCTGCATATCCAAATACGACCCCAGCTGAGAAGAGGCAATAGATGACGGCGGTAACAACCTGGACTGCAATCCTTATCCGTCAGCCACGTCTCATTCCCTCCAGGTCAACGAGTACTGACATATTCTCTTTATCTTCGAGACTTCAAACGCCCCCATAGGCTCGTCCTTACAGGCCGGCGCTTTGCCGTTGCCCACGGGGTTGAAGGACATATTCTTGTGCTCTGATCTTGCAGGCGAGGAACCTCGCACCACTTGCTCGTAAGAGCTCATAGAGCTGACACGGTGTAGAGACATTTTGGGAGTCCGGATTGGCCAAAAGATGAGAGGGTTCCAAGAGAAGGAAATTCAATTCGAAGTCGCAGACTTGACCCCGCGTTTCTTTTTGTAGGGATTCGGTGGATGGTTGAAAGTCTAATAATCAGAGCAGAGAGAAATCGACCAAAAGGTCGCAGAGAAAGAGCTTGAAGTGCGCATGAGTGAAGCGCGACTTATGAGACTCGAAATCACCAATGTTAGTGACACATGATCAGAGGACTCTCATACCGAAGGTTGGAAATCTTTGAACAATCTTTTTCATAGGAAAAGATCAAGAGCAAAACCAGCCGCGGGACCCCACACAGCGGCGGAAAGAAGCCGCCGTCGCCACTCGCCAAGCACAAGAGGGAGTGAGGGAGTGAGGGAGTGAGGGAGTCTTGGAGTTTTCTCCCCTCAATACACTTACATAGCAAACGGCCATGTCTAAAAGATTGGAAACAGTCCAGATGGTGGAAAGCGAATAAACTCACACGAGATTTCTAAAATGAGTCTTATCAACTTGTCCAAGCCATATCAAGCCAACTTGCAGATTGCAGATTGCAGGCAGGCACTGCTCACCAAAACGCCTTCGTTTGATAAAGTCTCCAAAACAGGAACATTGGTGATCAAACTCCCAACCCACATCTCAAGTCTCCCCTTGTGGATGCACAGGGCAAGCACCAGCGCCTTTCGTAACCCACCATTGCCGTATACATGCCTGATTCTGTTGTCAGTCCCTTCGCTATTCACAAGTTACACCCCCCAAAACCGTAAGAGTCGAAGACTTACCCTGTGAAACTTACACAAACACACCAACCTCCCCATCTCATCGCCAACCGCAAATTCCTCGAAGCAAATCACACACTCCTGCACTCCTTCACCATCTTGCCCAACACAGTCCTTTTCACTCGCATGATAGACAAACATGCCTGGCGTCCGCATTCTTTGTTGAAACGATGAGGATGGCATATCAGATGATCCGGATGACTCTCGGTGCCCGGTAGAGATTGGCCGTGAGCCAGCAGCTTGTGAAGGCGTAGCTGCACTTGCGACTACGGCTGCTGCTGTCGCTACTGAGGCTGGTGGGTGAGATGATCGAGGCCCAGAGGAGGAGAAGTGAGTTGCAATGCACAATTCTACATGACCTTCACGCTCAGCTTCAGAACCATCGGGACCCTTAGGCGGCAGAGCTTGATGGCAGATTGGACATTCGTCTTCTTCACGCAGTTGAGGCCTGGGAGCGGGTCGCGAACTCGCCATGTCCAAGTCAGGGAGAGGGCGATAGCGGGATGATGATGGGATAGGGCCCAGTGATGCATGGTGACGATGGTGGGGACGGTTTTGAAGGAGCGATGCAAGATGGCGCTTGAGATGTCAGCTCATGTCGGTCATGATCACTGATCCTTTTTGTAGACTTACCTGATGCGCTGTTTGATCAGGCGCTGAGCCGTATACCGAGGAATATCCTGGCAGAGACATGGGAGATCCCACCAGTCGTGATGCATGACTGTGGCGTCTATTTGTAGATGAGCCCGGGGTAGGAGGTGTGAGTGCTGCAAGAGGTGCGATGCCATCAAACCTGGAAGCATTGTTTGACCGGTATTCAGAGCGGCCTGAGGACACTGTTCTACTCAGCGTCGGCACTTGGTCGTCTCCTGAAGATGAGAAGCATGGTATTGTAGGTAATTGCTGATTTGGGCCTGTATTATCTGGTGTGGGAAAGGAATCGAAGGTATGACGGGCCGTCGAGAGATATGGAAGATGAGGCAAGGGATTTGGATCTGGCACGCAGGGGTTGCATAATCTAACTTCTTGGCCACCACCGAGAGCAGGGTCAATCCTGTACTCTGAACTCTGCGGGCGTTCTTCAAGGTTCACCACCTCTCCAGGAGTATCGTCATCGCTAGTAAGATCAACAACCTCAACCCCAGCGTTGTTTGCAGTGCTTGGGCTCGGGGTAGCATCTTCGGGTGGATGGACGATGAATTGTCGAGGTATCGTGATCCGATGAGGAGAGCAATTCGCGCACACCACCCTTCCACACTTCCTGCAATGATGTTTTCTATACCAAAAGCTAAAAGTCGTTCCGCAAATTGGGCATTTGGACACCCCAGCATCGGGCTCCCACTGGGGAAGAGTGATTTCTCGACTTCCTCGATTTGGCAAAGAGTCTAAACTCGGCCGTCGAGGTAAGGCTCGCTCTGTAGCTCTTTGCGTAGGAGGACTGTTCAAGGTGGTCGAGGTGACAAACATGGGTCGGTCATTGCCCGGTTGCGTAATGCTTTGCCTCGAGCGAGAGCTGCCAGGGTGCACAAATGATATGCCACTAGACGACCTTCTCCTCGAATGCTCCTCCGCGTATTCCGAGAGCCTTTTTCTTCTATCCGCAGCCATGATCGCCGCCCGGCTTGCAGCCAATTGAGTCCGATTCAAAGGGTCCTGCCTACTACTTGATGGCTGCCTAAGCATGTCCATGCATGTCTCTCTTTCTGCCGATGCAGCTTCTGTAGATATCCTGCTCTTTGATTTTAAGCCACTTGATAGCACATCCCCGTCACTATGCCCTCTTCTCAAAGCATCTCCATTCCGACCATCATTTGGTCCCTGGCGGTCAACTGTACTGTTGGCCGAGGTGGTCCGAGGATGTTGTAAGTTTGGACGATGAGAGGGCGTAGAGCTTGAATTGCTGAAAGACGGGTCCATCAAGTATTTCGAGGCCAATCTAGGCCTCTTGTAAGGGCGTTCCCCAGACGGTGGAATGTTCCTCAAACTTGCCCTCGCACAGTGGCGGTGATGGTTATCCAGCTTGTTGTTTTTCGGAATAATGACGACAGATACCAGGAAGAACCTTGGAGGACGAGGGCCAGGCTGCAGAGGAAGGACTTCGTGAGCGCTGACTTCGGTGGTCTAACGGGAGGGTGGTGAAGTTTCAAGATGCGCAAATGGCAGCAGAGGTAGTTGTAATAAGAAGCCTTTGTCGGCGTGTTGATACTCGAATACTCTATAAGGATAGGTTGATTGGTCGTTCAAGGCCTAGAGCGAAACAATAGATATTAGGGAATGGGTGTGAGCCGTCATAACAACCATCAATTGACTCGCAGTTTGCATTGGGATTCTTGATGATGGACGAGCCCAAGTTGATTCCTATTGCAGGAGTCGAGTGATATTGGGAGTTCTCGCCATGTGAAGGAATCGCGCAACCTCGTGGCGGCTACGAAGACGGCACGCGACCCTCGGACCCCTTTTCTCCATAATCACATCAAACAAAGCAAAGGAACGTTACTTTCACATGCTTGGAGCTCACAGTGACCTGTGGAAGTAGACGATCCGAATGCGTGAGCATTATGTGGGTATTGTTGTAAGCAGCGTCTTCGACCCTCTCTAGTTTCATGCTCTGAGCAAAGCTCAAGCTGTTTATTATACACATTCAGTGTCTATTCTACAGTCTTTTCCTCACTCAGTCATTGCCCTTTGTCCATCGCGCATACTATTAAAATGATAACGCCAGCCAGTGATTCGTAGCCACATGCAACGCTAATATATGCTCGACTTCTGCCTCGAGGAAACAAGGCCACCGCACCTTTGCGTTTACAATGATAAAAAGAAACAGAAACTCGGTTCGCACCCAATCTATGGGATAATGTGACGCCGAGGGAATGAGCTGGCCTAGAAAGCATGAGCTTGCTGGGCATCAGGACTGACACTCCTTTGATCAGGGTCGTCAACGAGCTCAGCGCTTGAGCCCAGCATTGATGGGCCATCCGAATTTGCAGTGTGGATATTGTCGCTGGCTCGATGTTGCTGCACATAACCCATGCTTGTGGGCCGATCGAGCTGTTGAAAACCGGGAGCCAGAGAGCCAAGTACAGATGAAGAGTGTCTCGCATGCTGAGCGTATCCAGCCTCATCAGTTTCTCGGGTTCCTGGTGAGAACATGCTGGAGTTCATTGAATCCCCACCTGCTGATAGATGGGTGCCTTGGGAAGGTGAGGTGGCATGATGAGAATAGAAAGGAAAGCGCTTGCTGTTGTCTTCTGGTGGCTGCAAACGCTGGTGGGCAGAAATTTTGGGAGTGATTGGTGGAGAAGGCGCTACTGTTGATAGCCTGGCACCGAACTTCTCCAAATCTGTTGAAGAGTCGCGTCTGGAACTCTTTCGTGGTATGCTCGGTCTGGTGCTTCTCCGCGTACTCTCACGAGTGGGTCTTGAGCTTGCCTTAGACGCAATTCGACTTGGCAGCTCTATACCTCCTGGGGTTTCGATATTTGGTAGGGTAGGCGGAAATTGTGAGATTTGACTTTCTCGATTCGGCCGCCAGTCTTCATCCGAAAGAGATCTGTCGTCACCCTCGTCGTCTTCGCTGCTCACAGGGCTTTCTTCGTCAGGCAGATGCCTGGTACCAGCCCCAATTGCATCTCCTTGATCGCTCAGGGCAAGGTCACGAGATCTCTCTGGCTGGTTGACACCGGGTTCATCCAAGTAACGAACTTCTTCACCCGGTATAATTGCACCTGAAGGTGTTTGTCTTCCCATAGGCGGCGCTCTTGAACTCCTGACGACCTCGAAACCCTTCCCTTTCTCTTTGGTCTTGCCACCAAATAGACTCTTGATCCAGCCGGAGGCAGATATCACAGGCCCAGTCGGATCAGCGGGGCCCGTCTTCAGCCTTCGAGTTGGCTGGTTCGATAGAGCAGGTCCTCTCACGCCGTAGTAGAAGTCAACTTCTCTTGTTGCGTAGTCAGTCTTGGATTGCCGTGGTTCTTCCGCATCAGAGTCAGAACGATCACGAGCCCCGCTCAAATGAACTGGGATTGGTGTATCACGTCCAGATGCTGATGGGCCTTCTGTTGGCTGAGGGGATCCTTCCAGGTCAGGGCTGTGGTGACTCCACCGCTTGTTGGCCCAGTCAGGACTTCCCCACGAACCTCGAGTACGCTCTTGCGGAGAATTCGCATCCATGGTCGTCCTTCTCTGTCTCGGTGGGCGATAATACGGATCGGCCGTTTCAGCATTTCTCAGATTGACTATACCACCCGCTGTTGCTCCGTGGCCTGCAGCTTGGCTGCCACCTGGAACATAAGAAAAGGCGCTCGCCCCTCCAGATATTGGGGTTTCTCCTGCACCACCAGCGCTGACCGAGTCAAGCCCAACACTCGTGCGGTTATCGCTAGTACCTTGCCTGTTCAAAAGAATTGCTGAGCTCCCTGACATGCTTCGAGATCGACCTCCGTTCCACTGTAAGGATTTCTGGTCTGATTCCTGGGCTAGTATAGCCGCGTCAGAGGTTACGCTTTGACGTGCTCGGCCACTACGCCGAGGGTTTCTTCGGGAGAGTTGACGCATTCCGAAGACCTAAATAATGCGCGAAGAGTGAGTGCTGTAATCAGGAGAATCATACCAATCTTGGGAATTGACGAGCAACAAAGTTCATCAAGGACTGGATGGACGCACCTTGACCAGTCCTCCTCTGGCAGCCCCTCCACCAACGCCCTCTTCACCTCCTGCACCAGCCAATCTTGCGAGAACCTCGATTAGAGTTTGACATGCATTGAGGAAGAAGCCAAATACCAGCACAATGGCGTGCATGAGAAGGATGATGTAGCCTATCCAACCTCTGGGTGCATCTTTGACACCTAAAGAGGGCAAGAATGCCACACTTAGAAGGACCGTTAGAAGTCTGACGACGGCGAAAAAGGTGTGAAACGCGTTCATGGACGTTGGAGAGTGGAATGGCCGAAAAGCGTTCAGGGTGAGTATGTTGATGACTTCGCAAATTGCGAGTAAAACCAGTTGAGCGATCCCGGACGGTTGAACGGCACCGATTGCTATTCCTCGAATGAAGGTCAACATGACAGGGACCAGGGCAAAGGTAGCTGCGTTGTCCGAGTACGTGTTATACAAGGGCCCATAGAGCAAGACCGTAGGGAGATCGTCGAACAAATACGATCGCGGACGAGTAGTCGCTATCAACCACAGGAGAAAACCTGCAAAGCCTATAAGGGCAACAAGCAGGACTGTTGCAAACCCTACTGTGGAGCCTGGAGAGTGTCCCGCGATGACTAGCTGGAAAGTCGAGAGCGCCACAATAGGTAGCAGAAAATAGTTGAATACAACCCGGATTGCATTACCAAGACTGAAAGGCAGGTTCTTTTGCCGAAGGTCTTCTTCTCGTGTATCCGAGATGAATCGATAAGCCCAACGGCAAGCGAAACCGATCTGTATCAGGGTGACAACAGACACCACGATGACCAGAAGCCATATTACCATACCAGCCCATATATCCTTATCTGCGGTCATTCCTACCAATTGACTCATCCTATCAAGTCCATAGGATCCGTTGGCCACATATATTCCATCGAGGAGGCTTTGGGAACCGCTGCCGTGCGTGACGAAACTCTCATTGAACATGAGTGCAGACCAGCTCACTTGGCTTACCACAGGCTGGTAAAATCCTGGGTAATTCAGGCTCAAAGATCCTATCAGGACGATGAACTGGATATACTGTAGACAATCTCCGAAGCCGGGAGTCACCAGTCGTAGAAGATCGTCATCTCTGCCGTAGTTGCTTGTGAACTTGAAGACATCGGTAGAACCCCAAGGGCTGAAAATTGCCGCGGTGGCTGTTGCAATGGCAACCAGAATGAGGACGACAAGCGGCAGGTAGGTGAGGGTCCTGCTGATAGTGTGCCCTAAATCTGGAGTTACGCTGGCTTCTATGCACGCCAGCGGGTCGGCATGTGGGTCTCCGGACTTGAGCCTAAGGAAGGTGTTGATTGAGGTGAATGCATAGCTCGAATACAGATCGTGCGCGGCAGTAATCCCAGGAAGCTCGGATATGTTGCTTCTTCAGGCAAGATGATTAGTACTCGTGGTTTTGGGGATGAGAAAGAGGACCTACTCAGTGCCGTTGAAATTGAAGACTGGGGCAACTGGACATGCTGTCACAGACGAAGTGTTGCAGAATCTCGCAGCGTCAGGAGCATAGGGTGTGTAGTCCAGCACATTGAATTCCGTCGTGAAAGTGGTATACAGCGCGTCTGGACCTGAACCATAGACATCTGGAATTTTGCCAACCGTATCATTCGGATTCGTCCACTGCGGGTCCGTCTGACTAGGATACGGCTGCTGGGTAGCAATTCCAGCGACGTTGCCATAAGCAGTAACATTGAGATTGTAGCTCTCCGCACTCGTATTAAAAGTGGCCCAGACGAATAGTGGCACAAATTGTAGAGTCTCCGGGTTGTTTGAGTTGATGGTATCCGGACTCAGGCAGTTGCCAAAATTAATGAACGCGGCAGTCGAAAGTCTGATAGGTAGGAAAAGTGCCAGTAACACCGTTCGCAGGATGTTAAAAGTGGAAGGCGTATCCTGGCAACTGCGTGTCTTCCATGGTGGTCGTCTTGGTAATATATCGCATGGCCATGGCAGCTTCTGGCTCTTCCTTGACTGTCCTTTCGCCTCTGCGGTTGCCATCAAGCCCTGCGTGTATTGCAATTGTGCGTCCCATGATGCCTCGCCCATTGGCGCAGGATAGTGCTTTTGACCATGCCACCAGGTCTCTGTGGCCATAGCCTTCACCCCTCCATCGACAGCGTGTATTAGTCACGATTTGCAGGCCTCTTAGATCTCTGGTATACTGTGTGTATTGAATCGATGGTTGGTTTGAGAGGAGAAGGACCGCTGAGTGGTAAGGCGATGGATCGACGGGTGAGGCGGAAGCGAGAGAGCTGATTCGAGGAAACAGTGCTGCGGTCGCAAATGAGAGTCTCAAAACAGGATTATCTAGTTTGAAATACTCGTGGTGGGCAGGCTGAAACGGGAGGGATTTGGGTGGTAAAAAGTTGACGTTGGACTTCGCGGGGTGAATTGACTCTTGAGATGCGAGGTTCGGGAAAAGTGAGGATCGCCTGGCCCGTTGCTTACGAGAGAGTAAATGGAGACTTTTTGGGGGCTCTCTTGAATCGCATCTATAAATCTGCTACAGTACGTGCGCCTATGTCACAGTCCTTTTGGGCTTCCTCTTCAACAGCCTGTGAAGCTGGAATTTGTGCCAAACAGTTATTGTTGTCTTGTGCGGAATGGTGAGAGTAGTCGAAGAGACTGATACGAGTAATCATGCAGATCATTCTATTTCTAGACCTTGTTCCGCTTCCCTTATGGTCAACAACCATCCAGCAATAGCTATGTCTTGGGATGTCCTGAAGCATGTCATACTATCTTGACGTCTGATAGGCACGCCGAAGGAAGCTCAAGCGTAAGACTTGCAGAGGCAGTCAGTCCCACACCGGTGGTGCCGGGCTCCCAGCTGAAACGCCTGGCAAACATGCCGGAGATATGTCGGTCTCGAACATATACTGTACAGATCCATGCACCTGGTCCAAAATTTGGTGTGCGCGTCTCAAGCCAACCCAATGACTCGAGAAATCCGAAAGCCGGGCCATGTGTGCGAGTGCGGGTTTCTCCCTGCCACGCTTACATGCGCATGCAGCTTTCCCCGTTGGAGTTTCACAACAACTGTCCGAAACTAATGACTTCCACTTGTTGATCGTTGATCTTGAAGTTTCGGCAGAGGAATCAAAACGGCATTAGACAACAGCGTAATGTTTGGTTCGTCCTTGATGTCACCGTAGAATGTTGCTTCAATGAGAATTGCTGCAATACCCAGAAAGGCGTTCGAGGTGGAACAAAAGTTTGAAACCGATTCCGTGTCGACTTATGTAGACGTGAGTACCGTAGTGGTGGTAGGAAGAAGCGTTCATGTATATTGTCTACGGGGAAGAGTCTCATTCTCCGTCTACATCAAAATGCTATATATATTAGCAGTTTGCTTGAAAGGGATATAGAGGTCGGCCCCACAAGTCCTGCATAGCACTAGTAACAGCCCTAACCCTACTTTCGGAAGGCAGCCCTATAAGATTAGTCGGGACGGTATCCGACATCTGAACCCTTTTCTCATATGCCGGACTTTTCTCTATCTTAAGATATCAAACGTCCTGCACATGCGCTAAATCTCTTAGCATGCTGAACACTGATTGATTTTTCTATGGAGATTGTATTCGCGTCACTGTTCACCAGCATCAAGATCATTGACATTACTATCGATAGAGCTTGAGTTCAAGCTCAATCACCACTGCCATTCCCAGGCTCACCAGCCTGTCGTCGTCAATAATCAATACACCTCAAATAACCTGAACAGCATTGCCCTTCTATAAGACTAGAAGCGCAAGACCAGAAGATTCTTGCTCATCTCTTCACGCAAGTCGATCCTCCAGACGACCACCCAGCTCGCTGTGAAAAGCCTCTGGCGTGATGCTTTGTGATACCCCTCTCCATTCAAGCTCCAATCCATGCGGTACTAGCTGCTTCAGCATCTCTTCCAAACTCCTCCGCATCCCGTGGCCAAGGATGGGCGCGCAAACCGCTATGACCTCAACCAACGAGTGATGGACGCCTCCAAGGAGCAGAGCCGCCATCGTAAGCCTCAACTCTGGCAGTAAACTCTATTCAAACAGTCCGGCTCGATAGAAACTGAAGATTTGATTGAACGCCAAAATAGCTCACGACTCCAAAAAATCAAGTTCCTTGCCATTCTTTCCTAATTTAGTTTCGAGGATTCAAGATTACCGTTCCCCACTCGGAACGATGCATGCGACCATCTTCGAAGATCGACCTTCGTGCTTTTTTCAACGCCATGCCATCACGGCAATTTTTGAAGAAGTCGCCTCTGAAAACCCAGAGAAGCTCGCTCTAGTCAGTCGTTGCGGAACTTTGAGCTACGCCGGCTTGAACGAGCGAGTCAATCAGCTCGCACGTCACCTACGCTCTCTGGGAATCGGTCTAGAGTGTGTAGTTGCTGTTGCTTTGGAAAGGGGAATCGAATACGTTGTTGCCATGCTTGCGAGCTGGAAAATTGGTGCTACGTATCTACCGCTTGACCAATCACTGCCCGCTAAGAGAATGCAATATATGATGTCGGACAGTGGAACTTCCTGTCTTGTCACCGTCAAGAAAATCATCGAGGAGAAGTCTCTCAAATTGAAGGCTGGAACGACCCTATGCCTGGACGAAGAAGAACTCATTGATAGGCTGAGGGCATGTCCTAGCGCGGACATATCGTCTGTAGCGTATCATGACAATTTGGCATACATCATTTATACTTCCGGTACGACTGGGAATCCCAAAGGTGTCGCTATTACGCATGGAAGTGTCTTCAATCTGGTTGATGATATTCGACAGAGTCGCGAAATCGAGCCTTCCGATCGAGTGTTGCTATTTTCGCCTTTCTGCTTCGACGCTTCGATACGAGACATCAACGGCGCACTGGTGCTAGGTGCTTCGTTGTATGTCCCAGAAGAAGAGGAAATCCTCCCCAGCAATCTCGTGAAGACCATTGCGCAGCATCGAATCACCAACTCAGTCATCACCCCCTCGGTCCTCCGGACCTGCACGTTGGAACACCTGCCAGACTTCAAGACCATTGTTCTTGCTGGTGAAGCCGCTGACGCGTCTCTCATCAGGACTTGGGGTGCGGGGAGGAAATTGATCAATGCTTATGGTCCTACAGAAGCCACTGTCTGCAGTACGAAGCGGGTGTACTATGACGGCCAAATCCCGTCGGGGTGCTCTGCATCAGTGATTGGAAACCCAATATTGAACACAATTATCAGCATTCTTGATGATGACGATATTCCTGTTAAACATGGCGAAGTTGGCGAGATATGCGTTACGGGGCCCGGAGTCAGTCGCCCTGGCTACCTCAATATGCCACAACTCAACGCTGATCGTTTTAGAGATGACTCATTTTGTCAGTGCCGTTCTTACAAAACCAGGGACCTTGGAAGGATTCTGCCCAACGGAGAGGTCGAGTGCCTTGGACGCAAGGCTTGCACGAGGCAGATCAAATTGAACGGACAACGTATAGAGCCGGAAGAAGTCGAAAACGTCATACGCAGCGCTTTCAATGTCCTTGACGTGGTAGTAATTTCACAAGGAGTGGCGACAACTTGCAGCTTATGCGCATACGTGGTGCCTGCACATGAGGGCTCGACAGTCAACAGAGAGGCACTCACAGCGCATTTGAAAGAGCTCATGAGAAAAAACCTGCCTTCTTACAGTATTCCAAGCGTCATAGAAGTCATCGACGCCCTTCCATTATCTGCGAACAAGAAATTGGATATCAAGGCTCTGTCGGACCCGGCGTTCAAAAAAGTTAGGTGTTTTCGTTCTAGTCGCGAGACACTTCTCACACCGCTTGAAAAGAAAATTGCAGCAGCATTACTAGAGGCTCTGGATTTGCCGACAGAGCAAGCTGTGTCGCCCGGAACAACCTACGGGGAGCTGGGTGGCAGCTCACTGCAGGCATCATTGGTCCTACGCCGTCTGAATGGGTCTATTGGCTGCAAGATTCAATTTGGACAATTCTACCGAAGAGACATCTCGATACGTCATCTTGCGGACCTCATATTGGGGGAGCAGCAACAGCAAGCAAGCCCACCACCTGACGACCTACTGAAACGAACAATTCTTCCACGTGATATTGTCTACAATGTACGAGCACCTAGATCCTGTCGGCAAGAGTATGTTTTTTTGACAGGTTCTACAGGTTTTCTTGGGAGCCACCTTCTCGCAGAGATGCTAAGTACAGGAAGCACCAGGGTAAGCTGCATCGTCCGCGCCCCAGATAACAGCACTGCATGGAATCGCATCAAAGCTGCTCTCCAGACTTGGGACTTGTGGGAGGACAGCTTTGGTTCACGTTTCGACGCCTTTTGTGGCGACGTGTGCAAACCGTTCCTCGGTTTAAGCACGAATGAGTATCTGTATCTTGCAAGACAAGTCGACACAATATACCACTCCGCGGCTGCCGTCAGCTTCATAGCGCCCTTCGCCTAGCTAGAAGAAGCGAATATCACCGGCACCATTGAGATCCTCCGATTTGCCAGCACCCTTACTCAAAAGCGGCTGACTTACATCTCAACCCTCGCCGTATTCTTTGGCATCGGCAATAAAATTCACTGCGGAATTGAAGTCCCCGTCAACAACCTGCAGTCTGGCATCGTGACAGGATATGCACAGTCCAAATGGGTGTCCGAGCAGCTGGTACTTGAATATGCACGATTGGGCGGACATGCTCTTGTCCTTCGACCGGGTCGTCTGCTCGGCAGCACTTGGAACTACAAATGTCCTCGAGATGACTTCACTATCCGTCTAATCGCGTCGATTCTAGAAATGGGGGTCGCACCTAACTTCGACGATATTGGTGGAAAAAGTTGGCAAATTGATCTCACGCCTGTAGATTTTTGTGCTCGGTTAGCCCATCGGTTTTCGTTGCAAAAGAAGACTGGAATTCGGCATATCATCAACAAGGAAACCATTTCATTTGAAGCTATCGTCAAATCTCTGGGCGAACATATTCAGCGGATGCCTTATCGGCAATGGCTGCAGCTAGTCACCCAGTCCGCGCACCTCGCCCCTTTGAGCTCACTCTTCCACGAGCCGGTCTCGGATCAGGATAGCAGGAGTGTTTTTGAGGTTCTGCTCCAGACGAAAATATTTCGGTACAGCAGCTATGAAGCTATAGTGCCGAAGGACGACACCGATCAGCTCCCGTTGACTATCCAATTGCTCAACAACTATCTGGAAGGAAATCTGGATATCTTTTCTAACAGTAGAAAGCATAATACTCCTAGCGTATGGAACTGAAGTAGCAGTAGCCTCTTAAACCATAACTTAGACGTTTTAATGTCCCGTTGTAGGTAAAAGATTTGGCGCCGAAGTGACCAATGCTCCCAACAGTCCGACTAGTCCGTCCAAAATCCGAACCAGTCCATAAACAGTCCGTCCAAACCTCGGAATAATCTATTATGAATCAGTCCGCGGACCAGTCCGACTAATAGTCCGAGATTTGGGGACTGTTGGGAGCATTGCCGGCGAAGTCCTGTATATCAGGGGGGCTCAGGCCCTAACACACATCCAAATTCGTACTGTAGCATAGAAATCTCTCAGCAAAATCATTCAAATCAAGTAGCCACATCGCAAACAGTCGCATTTAATCAATTTTGAAGCGTATACAGAAACCTCAGCCATATCTTCTAAACGCATCAATAACGCTTAATTACTTGCGAAGGCTTTAAATAGAAATAAAGAAGATGCTTGGCCTTCGCCGAAGTAGAAGTATTAGGGGAAACAGGCATAGCGATTAAGGGGCTGAGGAACATGTCAAGACTTCAGTATAACTTCATTTTTTTTATCTGGGACCTATACTAACGATAGCAGTGTTATTAAATGGTTTTACGGAGAGATTTCTATGCTACAGTACGAATTTGGGTGTGTGGTGTGGAAGATCTCAGGTGCCAAGCATTCCAGACGTTTTTGAATACGCTAATTCAGCTTTCGTCTTTCATCCTGAGCTTCCAACGTTCTCCTGCCTGCCCCCACATAATCCTCGCATTAATCGAAAGCGCCCTGTTTCTAGTCATAGAACTGGAGGATTTTCCTGCAGTAGATGCGGCAAGATCGCTTCATTGACAGCTTTTAAGCCTTCTCATTGGCCGCCTAATCATGATAAGATGACGCTATATGTCTGCTGCTGTATCGAAAATGCAATCACGAACGATCTGATTGTATCGGAATCAGTGTGGGTCGCTACTTTAGGAGTTGAGCTGGAGCTAGTGAGATGTCTTCCTGCATCTATTGTTGTGCTTTATGTCGTCTCGTTTGTTTGTTGTGATCGATTCATTGTCCTTCCTGTGTTGTTTGCTTCAACATTGTCTGTTTTTGTGCTTCACATTGTTTCGTTTGTGCTTCGTAGTCGGTACTCTGTACTTTCTTTGTTATTTGCTTTGACATTGGACATATCCCTTATTTCATTCTTGCAAAGCTTTTAGTGCAATTTTCTTCCGTAAGACGCACTCACATCCTGATACTCGGAAACGACCACGCGCTCGTGTCGTCAAAAGACCATTACACACTCACCTCCGCAACAACGATCGTACCTAGCAATATGGCTGCGTCACCTTCACCACTAATCCTCACCGAAGATGAGAGGTATGACCTTATCACATCCAATATTCAGGAGGTCCTCCGCCCTGACATTATTCGGGGGATCCTGCCTGTACGCCCCCTCGAAATTTTCTGGGGTACAGCGACTACAGGTCGCCCACACGCAGCCTATTTCGTTCCTGCCATCAAAATTGCCCAATTTCTCCGTGCTGGCTGCAAAGTCAAGGTTCTTCTCGCCGATTTGCACGGCTTTCTAGACGCCGACAAAGCCCCTGAAGCTACACTAGAGTACCGAGCCCGGTACTATGAGCGTGTCATTGGAGCCTTACTCCAAGCTGTGGGTGTCGGACTCCACAACGTACAGTTCGTGCGCGGTAGCTCTTACCAGCTGACTCCAGCATTCTCCCGTGACCTGCTCCGGCTCAGCAAGCGCGTATCGGTGCATGATGCCGTAAAGGCAAGCAGCGAGATTGTCAAATCTATGGGCGAACCCGTTATGGCGGATGGACTCTACCCAATGATGCAGCTGTTGGATGAAGAGTATTTGAGCGTCGACGCAGAATTTGGCGGCGTTGACCAACGCAAGACATTCGCGCTAGCCAATGACACAATGACCAAAGCGCTAGGGTTCAAGACGCGCGCTCATCTGATGAATCCAATGGTTCCCGGTTTGAGTGGCGGAAAGATGAGTAGCTCAGACCCGAAATCGAAGGTCGATCTATTGGATGACCCGGCAACCATACACAAGAAGATTGCGAAAGCCTACTGTGCACCCGGCAAGATAGAGGGAAATGGTATCTTAGCATTCATCCAGCATGTCTTACTACCGTACTCGCAATTGCAATCTCCAGATGGTAAGACGGCAGCCATTAGTGTGGTTTTGAGAGATCAGACTGAGCCGACCACTTTCAGTTCGTTTGCTGAAGTAACAGAGGCTTATGCAGCAGATCACTTGACACCACAGCTGGCGAAGCAGATTGTTGAGGAGAGTCTGATTAAGCTTACCACCTCGATTCGCCATCAGTTCGACACCGATAAAGAGTGGCAACGTATTGCCGATGCTGCATATAGCAATCTTACGGTATCACCTAGAGGGCAAGACACACAGAAGAAACAGAACAAAAAGGAGAAAAAGGAGAAAAAGGCAAATCGGACTAATCCAACAATCCAAGATGGTGCGGTCGACGATCAGTAGCGATGCCTTTTGTTCGTAAAGCGTGGACTTGGGCCCTCTAGAATAGATAGGCAGTGAGACTCGAGGGACAAAGAATGCGAAAAGTATGGAACCCTAAGTCCTTAGATCCGCAAGATAGTGCCTGTCCATTCTTCCTTTTCACCACAGCCTGTCGTACCAAAATAAAATAAAAACTGTTTTCAATGCGTACAAAGAACGGCCCCCTTCAAGGTAACAAATACTGAATTGGAATACTGTATATCTCCGAGCTCTTGCGGCGGTTCCCTTAAACAGACTGTGCTCTACTGTCAAACTTTTGTATGCTGCTTTAGATTTTCTAACCTACGATGCGAGCTTCCTGAATATAATGCTGACCATTAGCAGGAAGATCCAGAAATCGCCAAATGCAGAGAAGCTCCAACTTACATGTATTCTTGGATTTGGGCCCTACAGATGAAACTGTAGATCGCCGCTGTACACAACATACAAAGATTCAAGTTGGAACAAAGGAACAAAGCAGGGAAGCTTCTGTTCAAACACCGCGGCTCTCGTGGCGAACAACCAGGCTCTGAGCCGCGTCCTTGAGATCTAAAGAACAGCGCCCTTGTTGAATACAAAGAAGTCTCTCGGTTGAATAATTTATAAATGCTTGGTTTGTGAACGCTGGATTTATCTCATCAGACTTAGATCACCAGAAAATTCAGCACTACCATGACGGAGCAGCAACAGCAAATAAAGCCGGTCGACGGGGCTTTCAAATGGCCAGCACGTGAGTCCCCACACCCCGAAAATCTTGCTCTTGCCTCCAAACTCTGCACAGCATTACTGCCTAAGGGATCAGATACTAAGACTATTACAAAGCACTTCCCCTGTGGCTGGTCTTCCAACGACGTCATCCAAGTCTCGATCCCCTCTCCCGCTCATCAACGCCGCTTCGTGGTCAAGCTCCCCCGCCGTCAAACCTCTTCGTGCATTGCTGCCAGTTGCAGGGCGGAAGCATTGCGAACCTGCTGGGCGGCCAAGCATGGCTTTGGACCCAAGGTGCTGGCTATCCATGAGGAGAGTGGGGGATTCGTCATGGAGTTCATCCAGGGACAGACGCTGACGACGGAGATGATAAGGCAGCGTCTGCCGCAAGCTGTGAACATGCTTCGACGGATCCATGAAGCTGAGGCAATGAATTGGATGAGGAGGTACGACCCAATGGAGATTGTAAAAGAGCATCTGGAACGCGTGAAGCAACGCAACGCGATGCGACCAAAAGATGTGGGCTTCGTCGAAGGCATCATACGCGATACTGGGGAAGAAGTGAAGGGCCATCCGTGGATGCCCTGCCACAATGACTTCCACAGCCACAACGTAATGCTTAGACGCGGCAGCAGAGATGATTCCGACTGTCTGCTCGCAATCGATTTCGAGGACTGCGATCTCGGCGATCCGATGTGGGATCTTGCTTACTTGACGGTCAATCTCGAGCTGGAGCAGGAACCCTACCCTTTGGAACATCTGTACGGCGCTAGCGCAGAAGACAGACGACGCGTTCGAGCTTATGTTCCATTGGCCATGGCGCATTGTGCTACTTGGGCAGCTTTGCACGGAGGGTTATGGGCGCAGCATCAAAAGGAAGTCATGGAACGATTAAGAAAGCTGGTAGGCGATTTAAGTTGAGGGACGGACGCATTGGTTCGCATGGTATTGTTTCCAGTAACAAAGAGTTCAAGGCTCGTCAGGCTGGAACATCTTCCTATTTCAGCGCCACGTTGAAGGTTTCGCAGAATTCTTATGAAATTGTTCTACAAAACGTGAATCGCTTCAGTGATTGGAGGAAAATTAATGCCCCAGCGCCCCTCTATCTCCTTGTCTCCACATTGCTTGTTGACGTCGAGCCTCGGAAGATAATCTCAGTCACCTGTAGAAGCGATGTCAGTGGAATCCGAGATAGTAGGGCACGGTTGCTCTCATCCCGATTGCCTTCCAGTTTGAGTAACCGCAGTGCCATTCTTAGCCCGGACATTCACTCTAGATCAGCCTGTGCCAGATCTGTCATACATCAATACCTATATAGCTATGATGCAAGATTGAATCCCACGAATTTGGTGCCAGCGCCAAGACAAATTTTCGCCTCATCCCTGCCGGCTGCAGCCTTGTTTGAGAAGCGGCCGCTAGTGTCTTGGCACCAATCAGAATCGTAGAAAGAAAGCTGCTTTGACAGGCGAGAGGCAGGTACGCGTTGAAGGTCTCGTGCTTGTGTGGTCAGCATCGACCGGGGCACACAACAGTCTCAGATAACGTCTGCTTGCCATCATGCTTGCCCTATGTCAAGCATCGAGCAGCTACAGAGCCCAAGACTGTTCAGCTTCTCCACCACGGGAACCCCCATGAAACCCCACAATGTCGGAGAGCGTGTCTTCCCCGGAAGAGTCTCAAGGCGAGAATAAACCCTTTGGGAAGCACAACTGGCGAGGAAAACTCTTTTCAGCCGACAGCAGATTTGGAAGAGCTGCGGAGCCTCTCGAAAGTACTGACGATGATGTCGCCAACTTTCTCCACCCAGCAGGTACAAGACCAGAGGCAGGAACTCAGTCAGCGCCGCTTCCTCCTCGCATTGATGTTGCTGCTGGTTCGAGACGGCCATCTGCCGCCAATGTCCACCAGGATGATACCATAGTCGATGTTTATCGAAGGCCCAAACCTCGTCAGAACAAGGGGCTATGTGTAAGATTTGATTTAGGTCCGCTCGTAATTGGTGTGGGCGGAGACGAGGCTGAGCTTCCTTCAAGAGATGTCTCCAGGTCGTTCGCAGATTCAATGAGATCTGAACGATCGCCGAATCGAGAGCTATCACACTATGACACCAATGACCAGCGCTCCCAGGCATACGGACGGTCAACACATCCTGATGACGAGACTTCCTTCCGGCCCTCGTCTCTGCAGAGAAGACCGACCGGCATCGACGATGAAAACCTTGTGGAGGAATCACGTCATGCAGGCCATGATAGAGAAGCAGTTCAGTCTGCCTTTTCCCGAACTCGAAAGTTGGCGCCTCGACCGCGAAATGAAGAGCAGGATCTGGACTTGGACTTTCGTAAAAGAGAAGTCACGGATCTATCCTATAGACCCTCCTCGGCGAGCGAAGACCTGTCTTATGATCAAAGCTACACCTGGCAGACGGCAGAATTTGGGGATCAGGGGGCCACACGGCTGTTAATCGCGCTTCCTTCAGAAGCTCTGCCCGCCAGTGCTTTGAATCCTAGCGAGACACCTGAGCCACCATACGTCTTCCAAGAGCCCTCATCATCAAGCTATCACTTTCCACCTGCCACTAAACGTCTACCAGAGCTGCCGGGTTCAAGAGATCAAGACATACATCATGATTCTCAGGACGTCCCACCCAGTCTAAAAATTAATTCGCTTGCTATACACACTGCAGCCGAGAGACTTGGGGGCGACTCCTTGGAAGACTTTGACTCGCGTGTGCGGCGCTTCAGCGACCTCTTCCGACTCAATGCTTCCGCTCATGTCGATATCATGGCAGTGCCCTTGGAACGATGGGTCAGCATCTCTGCATGGTGGTTCTTGAGGGGCAGAGGAGGGCTCGAAAGTGCCTTGCGTAGAAAAGCCTCGGTCATCGCTCCAGCTACTGCTGCGAACGATGGTGGGTTTTCTCAAGCATACGTCAACCTTGCAAAGGCCTGGTGGGTATTGAAAGATGTCACCCCGAATCTTCCTGAGATAAGAAGGTTCGGTAACGCGAGTATGGGTTCCATGGTTGCGGTGATTACGAGCTTCGGAGACCAACCTCTTGCTGAGCTTGTCGAGGTGCACTTAAGAATACTTGCAAATTTGCGTGGGTTAACGATGTCGATGAAAAGAAATGGAAGGTTGCCACCGGACGATCTCCAAATGCAGGGACTAGAGCCACAGATCTTCCTCGAGACTCCGACCTTTTCCCCAGATATTGCGGCTCTGATGATCAACAATACTCTCGATCCCACAACCAAGGGCAAGAACTACGTTGCCGAGCCCTTTTTCCCGATTTTGGTTGGAGACACGGCACGTCACTTCAGCTTTGGCAAGATGTTTGTTGACGTTTGTTTGGACACTCGTGATGATGCAAAGTCAGGAGTACAAATAGCCTGCGTGGTGTCGGTACTGCGCGAGCGAACCGATTGGGCGGTTAAGGCAGCCGTTGCGAGCCAAGACGGGAAGGTCAATCTTCTGATACAGTCAGGCGAGGCTGGCAGTCTACATTGGCATGACGTGCAATGGAAAATACCGCTCCACACGATGCAGCTTCGGCTTGCAGAAGATATCTGTCTAAAAATCAAGTTTTGCGAGAAAGATTTCAAGACCATCTGGGGCATCTGTGATTACACGCAACGCATTCGAAAAGAGTACTCCGCCGGGAGAGACGAGGAAGCTCTTTATGAGCGCGAGCTACCAACCTTTCAATGTTTTGATTCTCCATCATTTCCTAGGGAGCCCATCAAAGACTGCAGAGTACGACTCTTCGAGAGGAAAGTCGTTGCAGTAGAGGGTAGTAGGCAGCATAGAGTTCACGATGGTTATCGGTTGATGGTGATCACTCCCCCAGGTACCAAAACATTGAGCAAGGTTAACTATCAGCTGGGAAAAGAAAGCCCAATACTTTTCGGCACCTATCGAAGCAAAGGTGGGAACACATTGCTTGTAAGGGTGCCGCCTTCTTTGAGGGTGTCTCTTACTTTCCAGAAAGCAAGCGATGTCGAGCTATTCCGTTCCACCCTTACTGGGACATCGATAACGGAAGACGATCATTGTTCGGCCTTTTTGCAGTTGCAAAACTTTACTATCAGTTCCGTGTCTGCTGATCAAGACATTGCATATATGAACGCCAGTCGCTGTATTAATGATCTCAAATGGCATACGCTACGCGTTGTCAGTAAGGGACCGCCGACTTATGGTCACGACTCGCAATCGACAATTTTCTCAGAGCATCTTCGAATACTGGCAGACTGTGATTCTGGCACATTCACGGACCG